TGTAGACTGAATCAGTACATCAACATCGTCGTCATCAAGTGCCCTGCCAGGCGGCGTAGAGGCTCACATCAGTCCAGAGATCTCGGCCATTGGCATCTTGAATCAACTCTGCTGGTGACATTTCTCCATACATCGCACCATGTCGTCATGCAGCAGCATCATCAGTGCAAAAGTACACTAACACATACATAGTTAAGAAAAGTATACTTTGTATGGTACTTGGTACGTACTGCGTTAAACATGTTTCTCTTACAAAGAGGGTTAGTAACACAATGTAAAAGTACACTAACACATACATAGTTAAGAAGAGTATACTTTGTATGGTACTTTGTACGTACAGCGTTAAACATGTTTCTCTTACAAAGAGGGTTAGTAACACAATGTAAAAGACTGGTTGTAAGCCTAGCGGCTAGATACTTAGTCTTGGATTCCAGTCCGCAGCCAGTTGGATTTTTATGTGAAATAAAATTGACCAGACCAAAATGTGTACCAGTTAAGGCCCTGGGAAGTAAAGGCAGCCGGCGTGGTGTTGACAACCTCACTCATGAGTATCCAACACTAGAGTTGGTACAGGGAGGGGGCGGCGGGGGGGGGGGACTTTCCCAGTTATAACCTTGATGGGTTGAACATGGTGTCATTATTAAAATTACCAGTACAGTACATCTCTCATCTAGTGCCGACTGGTCTAAAAACTGTCTCTAGCATCATATGATGGATGGAACGCTGGCCTGAATGTGTTCTGTACTCTACATTCTTCAACGTTTTCTTCTTCTTCTTCTTCTTCTTCTTCTTCTTCTTCTTCTTCTTCTTCTTCTCTTCTTCTTCTTCTTCTTTTTCGCTTTCACCAGCTGTAAACTCCGATAAAAAGTTCTGGTGGTTCGTCCACTTCTGGACCTAAGTCCTGTTTCATAACTTGAGTTTTGCATGCACAGATGGTTTATTTGAATCCAGACTGTTGGTTTTTTGACACCCATGCAGAATGCACTCCGACTTTGAAGGAAATTCCTCATTAGTTGCCTCTATCGACCCAGCCCTCCCTGACGGGATGAGAGATACCCGAATTGTCTGCTAGCTGACGTCATGCCAGCAGCGCCCCCTAGCGGGATGTGTAATGGCCGTCTGGGAGTGGACTAAACATCGCTGTCTCCTCAACCCCTCGACCGTTTCTTCCGGACTGACTTCGTTCTAGAACATTGCTGTCGGATTTTCTACAATGTATGTTGCTATTAAATGACTACATTGTACCTTGCAAACGTCATTTAGGTGCATCAGTCTGCATTTGGTGTTGTAGTTTGGAGAGTGGTATCACTTGTTATTCGTTCCCACCCATGTTTTCTTTTTGCAAGGTACCCGCCTTCTTTTGCGAATGGAAGATGTCAGTATTGACTTCATCCGGTCCTGGCTTTATTGATATGTAGGAAACCGTTAGTATTTCACGATAATGTCCTCGTTACAGCTATAATATATAAATATATGTTTACCCACCTTTTTTAATCTTGCGAAAGATTTACAGTAACATTGGAAATATTGATTGATTTAGCAGCTTACAGTATTCAATAACTGATATCCATTATCTTCACTGTCCTGCTGTACCCTAACATTGTATGTCACACAGGACTGGCAGTCTGGTCTTCCTTTCCGTTTTATCCTTGCAATCATTTCACATATGGACTCCAGTCCTGCAGTTTTGGGTTCCTTTCAGGGTTTATTTTGGATGTCTTTACTTTCTCAATCCCTTTATTTCCCATTTTATTGTCATAAATTATAATTATGTATTATTATTAACAAAATAATTATTACTAGATTAATGAAAATCGGTTCTTTTCAGCCTTTTCATCCCATTTTGGTGACAGCTGATTTGATAGGGAATGAATAGTTACTTCCCTAAAAGGTCCTGTGGTATGGAAAACGGAGTTGGGGGGGGGGGGGGGGGGGGGTTAGTATTATTGTTAGTGTATATTTATCAGTAACCATACGTAACTAATCCTGCTACGTCATGTGTTGGTTGTTTTCAGCATATTCATTGTTTATTGCACCATTATTTCCAGTGTGTTACTTTTATTTGTTTATCGCTATCACTGTGCCCTGTTTGCAAGCAGTGTTTTTACTTTGTGACCTCACCTTCGTCATGAATTTCCTGTCAGCATTCCTGCATCTAACCCCAACCCTAACTGGCAAGCGTGTATACATGGAGACTGCCGCTTCTTTTCAAGGACCTTCCATGTTGACACTCGAAGGTCCCCAATTCGCATCCCTAAGGTCTGCCCAAGAGAAACATTAGTTCAAGCCGAACTTTACGAGTCGCTAAGCGAATTACAGAATACAGTAAAGTTCACACTAGAGACGACACTGCAGATATAGAAAATCTATTTTGGGTGAACAAAAGAAGAAGACATGGAAGAGGAAACTTACCCTAACATTATTTCCCTACCAAATCTTGCAGGCCCCGATATGGGGGTGGAAAAGCTGAAAAGTACCTCAATTCCTCTTCTTCTTCTTCTTCTTCTTCACTTCCTCTTTTACCGCTGTGGGTGTCGAGGGGAGATATAAGGTTATGTTTCTAGCTCTTCTGGCTGCCTCGACCATAGGCACATCGTGCTGTTGCAGAGTTTCTCTGATGTTATCCTTCCATCTTGTTCTTGGTCTACCCCATGCTCTCTTTTCATGTATGCTTTGTATGGTTTGGTGTCACAAGGCATTCTCTCTAAGTGGGCAAACCATTTCACTTGCTGTCTTTGTATGTAATCCAGAATTGGTTCTGTGCCGACTTTTTCTCTTACGATCTCATTCCTGATCTTATCTCTTATGGTTACTTCTACAGCCCTTCTCAGACATCTCATTTCCGTGGTTACTAATTTTCTTTTATGGTTTGTTGTGAGTGACCATGTCTGGCACTGGTAGCACAGAGTTGGAATAAATATGCGTTGAATAAGATGTCTCTTTGTGCTGATTGGGATTGTCTTATGCTGTAAGAGGGGAGCTAGCTGTCCCAATACTTGGTTTGATTTACTGCATCTAATAGTAATTTCTTTATCCAATTTCCCATCTTCGGTAAATGTAGTTCCCAGATATTTAAACTCAGATGCCTGTTTAATGCCTTTGTATTCTATTGCTATGTTTAGATCTGTCTTCTTTTTCCTATTGACATTACTTCTGTCTTTTCAGTGTTGATTCTCATATTATTTGTTTTACATTCTTCATTCATGGATGTTAGATGGCTGTATCTGCTATCAAGGCCTGGTCATCTGCAGAGAGTAATTTGTTGATCTTACTAAGATCTTCATTCATGGGCTTGGCATTCTTGCATATACTGTCGATGTAGGTGATTCCTCGCACTTCTCAAAAGGAGGGACAGAAACACTAACCCACTTGCCACATTGCAGAAGTGCATTTTGACTGCTTGTGTTATGGACACTGCTGAAATTCCAGGGGAACCCCTGCTTGACAGCGTGTATTATTTGTCCATTGTACCTCATCATCGTCAGCATTCTTATGTAACCCTTGCAAAATGTTGCCAGTTTCCTGGCCTCTTGTCCTTTCCTGCTTAAAGTATGTCTGTTGTTCCTTGTCCAGTGTTAACCCCTACCCCTTCCTTGTCCAGTGTTAACCCCTGCCTCTTCCTTGTCCAGTGTTAACCCCTGTCTCTTCCTTGTCCAGTGTTAACCCGTGTCTCTTCCTTATCCAGTGTTAACCCCTGTCTCTTCCTTGTCCAGTGTTAACCCCTGCCTCTTCCTTGTCCAGTGTTAACCCCTGCTTCTTCCTTGTCCAGTGTTAACCCCTACCTCTTCCTTGTCCAGTGTTAACCCCTGCCTCTTCCTTGTCCAGTGTTAACCCCTGTCTCTTCCTTGTCCAGTGTTAACCCGTGTCTCTTCCTTATCCAGTGTTAACCCCTGTCTCTTCCTTGTCCAGTGTTAACCCCTGCCTCTTCCTTGTCCAGTGTTAACCCCTGCTTCTTCCTTGTCCAGTGTTAACCCCTACCTCTTCCTTGTCCAGTGTTAACCCCTGCCTCTTCCTTGTCCAGTGTTAACCCCTGTATCTTCCTTGTCCAGTGTTAACCCCTGCCTCTTCCTTGTCCAGTGTTAACCCCTGCCTCTTCCTTGTCCAGTGTTAACCCCTGCCTCTTCCTTGTCCAGTGTTAACCCCTGCCTCTTCCTTGTCCAGGGTTAACCCCTGCCTCTTCCTTGTCCAGTGTTAACCCCTACCTCTTCCTTGTCCAGTGTTAACCCCTACCTCTTCCTTGTCCAGTGTTAACCCCTACCTCTTCCTTGTCCAGTGTTAACCCCTACCTCTTCCTTGTCCAGGGTTAACCCCTGCCTCTTCCAAGAATTATGCTTTCAAGTAAAATTTTGTATAAACCACTGCAACATTGATTGTGGCCTCAGTATTTCAGTTTGCCAGATAACATGCTGATTGTGAGCCAGTTTTCTTCAAACTTGTAGAATGTCAGTATCTTTATTCTTCTTTATATATGCTATTTTAAGATTTTTTCTCTAGCATTAGAGTTCAGAAGTTTGGATTAAAAAAATTTAAATAATTAAAAAGCAAAAAAAAAAAAAAAAAAAAAAAAAAAAAAAAAAACAACAACAACAGCAGTACTTTCTTGTGTGTATGGATGTAAAACGCAGAAAGAACCCAGTATTTAATAATGAAATATACTGGCCTGGTACCAGCTGCCAGGGAGAGCCACTTTAGAAAAATAATTCACTCAGAGCCAGGGGAAGACCACACAGAAGACAGAAAAACAGCATCAAGCCTTAAAGAAATGAAGGCGAACTTAAACAATGCAATGAAAGAGCACACCAAAGATTCCCTCCCCCCCCCCCCCCCCCCCCCCCCCCCCCCCCCCCCCCAACTTTGTTTTCGGGGTACTGGAGCCAGAGAGCAATAAAAATAGAATGTTATCAACATTGAATAATTGAGAAACAAATATTTTAGAGCTTGCATTGAATTTGTTTACAGGTGGTTGTTCCCTGAAGCTTAGTGACCATGCCAGGATCACCATGGATGACACTGTAAGCCGCGACTCTGTTACTTCCTCCACCAGTGACGAGTTTGTTGTAGTCAACGGGGAACCAAAACTAAAAGTGGCGGCAGATGTGAGTGACATTAGTGAGGAAATTGCCAGTGCTGCTGCCACCGACAGCAAGATGTCAGACAGTACAGAGTTTGTGACAGACCCGCTGAGTGGTCATGTGATGCCTAGTAGCCAATCAGCAGATGTCTTGAATTCTGGGTCGTTGCTGGAGAATTACCCAGACACCCCAAATGATGAGGAAATGACGGGCTCAGGTGAGTATATGTAAATTGAATGCATTTTTGGAACATGTAGATCCTTAAGTGTGGTTCGGGGCCACATTGCGGGGAACTACACAAATAATCCTACTGCTCCCTAACAAGAATGTCATAGCCTGATGGGGAATGTTTCCTTCAAAGTGGGCCTGCATCTGCCTGAAAAGTGAGGAAACAACAGTCTGCCTACAAAAAAGTCAGATCTGTGAAACGGATAAGCACCAAAACTCAGATTCTGGAACAAGACTAATGTCCAGAGGTGGACAAACACCAAGAGCTTTCCATCGGAGTTTACAGCTGGTGACTGTAAAGAAGGAACATGTTACAGTGAATCTTGCAGTGTCATTGTAAATTAAGAAGAGCTTCTGCCTGCATGCCATCATCTATCAATCTTGTCTTCTCAACACTATTTAGGCAGAGAAACTTTGTCAGTTTATTTGTACTGGGAGAAATGGCTAAATAGCTTTCACTACAATGCTTAAGAAGAATACTTGGCATGAAAAGGACAAGACCATTACAGTCATTGAGTTTTTGGAAAGAAAGATATCACAGCAGTTTCTTCAGTGCTTTATCTTCGAAGGCATAGGTGGCTTGGAAGACTGCAAATACCTAAAGACTTCCTCTAAGCTGAATTAGAGCGTAACATAGAATATACAGTGATTTCCATCTTTCCCTATATACCGCACCATACCACTGCCATTAAAAACTACCATTACTGCCTATATTTACCACTCATGTAGTGGGGGGTGGGGGGGGGGGTGGTCTTTGAGCCTGAGGATTTAGGGCCGCATGACAAGTGCTGTCACCTCTGACTGTGCAGGTTATGGGTTTATTTGTGCCCCCACCCCCGACATTTAAAAAATCCCATTTACAGAGGATTTAACTCAGATCTCCCACTGCATAGTTCAGCATTCTAATCATTCGGCCAGCCACTGCTCACTGTCCTCTGGATTGTGGTAAATACAGAAAGTATTGACAGTTTTTTTCCTTCTCATGTTCTTTCAGATCGAGCTGGTTCGGCATCCTTGACTGTTGTCTCCACTGGAGACTGCACAGTGTTTAATGCAGTGACCTACTTAGGGTGTGCGATGGTGAATGCCCCACGCAGTGAGGTTGAGATTTACCGCAACATGGCTGTGTTGAACCAGCAGAGTCAGATGGCAATTCCCATTGCTCTGTCTGTGCCTGCAACTTCAGAAGGGGTTGTCAGGTAAGTAAACTGGTTGTCCAACTTTGCCGTGGTGTGGTATTTGTGTTGTACATTTTAAGTGTGTGTGACAAGATTTCACATGCAGGAATAGATTTCAGGAGGGTCCTAACAATTTTTCAAGGTATCTTATAGAACAGGGTTATTCAACTAAAGTTACTCAGGGAGCAACAATTTGAAAATAGGGATCGTCCTGGGCCATAGGCCTGAGACCCAGTTCTATTAATACAATAAAATTGGCAGGTGATCCCTGGGCCTCGTGCTAGGCCTGTGCGTGCCAGGCCTGGCCTGTATATACCTGTTGAATAGCCCTGATGTAGAAAGAAGACGATGAAAATAGAGTGGTTCAAGAGATGGAAAAGGCTACTTTTCATGTATTTACTAGGACATTGTTGGTTCAGACAGCATCCCCCAGGCTCAAAAGTGTGGCAATAACTGTGACATCCAATCAGTATAATTATTTCAATTTAATCTCATGTAATTCATGACTTTATACAATTAAACTTAATACGTGATCTCTTCTGATTATAGCTTGTATTCGTGTTGCCCTTTACCATAGTGCTTGAGAACTATTTTGATTGTAACTTAGTATGAATATTGTCTGTCAGCTTAATGCTAAATCTTTATTCTGATTTCCTGTGATTCCAGGCTCCTTGAACCTACTGGTGACACTGACATTGCCACCTTCCGCATTCACCGAATTCTTTTCTGTGCCAGAGGTCCTCCAGACTCGTCTGAGCGACAGTGTTTTGCTTTCACGTGTAGCCACGGCGACACCGCTGACAATTCCATCTTTCAATGCCATGTATTCCGCTGTGATATTCCAGAAGCAGTGAGTTCCAATTTTGTTTCACTGTCTTTTTGTGCCTATTTATTTTTTTAGTAATGGTAGCTAAATGAATAAAATTTGTAGTCAGTGAGTTTTACTCTTACTGTGTCTTTTTATGTCTATTTTAATTATTGTGAAAGTTTTTTGAATAGTTGAGGTTGCCCTGACATTTCAGTGTAGAGAATCAGCTGCTTGCAAGAAAAATGGGGGAAAAGCCAGAGTGATCACCTGCAGAATCAGACCAGCTAGGGAAGTATTTTGTTGGATGAGAACGTGCTGTGTTACAGATGTATATCCTTGGAATTCAGACAACCATTTTTATGATCTTTTCTTATTTCAGAAAATCTTACTGTTCTATTTTTCCTCATCATCATTATGTGCCTTGAAAGCTGCATAGATGCTCATTTCTGTTGGTTTTTTGTACTCTGTGTTGACTTCTATTGTTCTTCTTCTTCGCATTCACCAGCTGTAAACTCTGGTTGAAAGTTGTGGTTGTTTGACCACTTCCGAAGTTTAGTCTTGTTCCAAAACTTGAGTTTGCATGCACATCGGTTTCACACATCTGGATTATTTGTATGCAGACTGTTGGTACCTCGTCTTTCAGGCAGATGTACTCTGACTTTGAAAGAAAAATCCCCTAATTAGTCACTTTTTACAGCATTCTTGTTAGATGGGCAGTGGGTCTATTCTTTGTTGCCCCAAAATGAGGACCCGGGACCCACACAGGAAATTGATTCTATTGATGATGTCCCTCGTGTCACCATATGAGTGCCAATAATCATCATTCTTGGTCTACCTCTTCTACCCTTGTTCTTTCTTGCCAGTTATGATATTCTTCAGTGCAATCTTTTCATCACACGGTCAAAAAATGTTGTCCCTTTCTTAAAGTTGCATGTAATATCTGTGTGCAATATTAGTTAACCAAAAGTCATTGGCATTTAATATCTAACACTGAAATAGAAAAAAACCTCTATATATCTGTTTTCATTATAACCCTGGTGGGTTAGACAGGGCATAATTATTTACATTTCTACTGCAAGTAGTACTACTGTAATGCCACTGTTATGTAATATTCTATTTCTATGAACTTTTCCAATGTGATCATTGATGTTCACTCTGGCTGTCCGAGTTATTCACAATATGAATCTTAGAAACCATATCTCTGCCGCTGTTCATTCACAGTTTGCATGATTTCTACTTCTTCTTCTTGTGATCATTTCCATGGTTTAGACCATCAGTCAAGCTTTCCATCTGATGAAACAATTTTTTTCAATTTTAAGCTAACCTTCTTCGAGTTCACCAGCTGTATACTCTGGCAGAAAGTTCTGATTGTTTGTCCACTTCTGACCTGCAGTCCTGCTCCAGAACCTGAGTGTTGCATGTGCATCAGTTTTTCAGATCTGATTCACTTGAATGCACTGCTGGTTCCTTGCCTCTCAGGCAGATGCACTCCGACTTCAAAGGAAGCTCCCCAGTTAGTTGACTCTTACGTCAAGCTTTTGGGGAGGCAGTGGGTTTTTCCCACAATGGGGCCTGGAACCAACACGGGATACATGAATTCATATTTAAATGTTTAAATTTGGTTTAGATTTCTTCTTCTGTTGTAAAAGTATGTTTTGGTTTTATTGTTTTTTATTTAATGCAACTTTGTTTCTGTTTTGCTTTTCTAGTTTTGGACGATTCTTTGTTGTTGTTGTTGTTGCACTCTGTTTCTACAGTATTCAACAGTTATTGCAGATCTTGTGCATTTTCAGCTTTCAATACTGTATCACCCGCAGCTGCATGCTGCATGGTGTGTCTTTTTGTAGCTTTTGTACGGGTAACCTTGAACATGTTTTGTCTTTTCAGGTACCAAAAATATTGTATTCCTTTGCAAATACATTTCGCCGAGTGCCAAAAAGAGACAAATCAGTTGACAACTTGGCATCAAACGCAGAACTAGTCTTTACCTTTTCCGTGACACTTGACTTCCGTGAGGATGATGGCAAGGGAAATTACTCTGCCTGCTCCAAAGACAAGGATGCATTTAAGTTCAGGGTTAATACAGAGAAGAGATTGATCATTTCTGTTCAGCAGTCGGGTCCTCATGAGATCCGAATTGAAAGGTATGAATACAGCCTCCCATTCAGATACTTACTTTTTCTAAAGTTCTTTCAGTAACTGCTGGGTCACAAAATAAAAATGAATTTCATTCATGGGAACCTGATCAAATGGCTTATTCAGTGGATATCCACCCACCTCAGAATTTCAGGCAACGAGGAAGTAGGTCAGCTTGCAAAGCTTGGCATGTCACCACAACAAAACTAAGTACCATTTGTAAAGTAAAATGGCTGATATTTAACAAGCTTCCTCGAGGCAAAATGGTTAACAACAACAACAACAACAAAAAACCGCCCCTCACCACATACAAAATGATACTTATAAATTTTAAAGGTGAAATTATGTTATTTTTCAGTTCTAAGCAGAGCACAGAGGAGTATGTATTTTAAATTGCAGGTTCAGTTTATGACTGCTAATCCTAGTTTCAGCTTCATAGCAAACGGGTCACCCCATAGTTGCTCCGCTCCTGTGCCAATGAAAAACACACGTAGCTCACAGTGTCACGCCATGCACTCAACTCAGAAGCTGGTTTATGTCTGCCAGAGTGGGCCATTCTTGTCCTCATTTGTTGCAGTTGACAGTGACACTGAACTGAGACAGGTCTTGGTGAACCAGAAGCATGCTTCATTGTCTCTGAGCTGCTGATCCCCAGCAAGCAGAGTGACAACTGGACAGATGAAGAGAACTGGTGGAAAAGGTTAACTGATATGTTCTGGTGAACTAGCAAGCAAAGTTTTATGGCAGACGGTCATCATTGGAACTTACTGAGAGTGCAGGAAACAGATGTTTAAATATTCTGTCCTACAGATCATGGTGTTTTACATCAGGTAGGCACCCTGGATAAAAACCTGCCACTCCCAAACACTGTTGGTACCCCAGTCATCACTAGACAAATGTGTTTCCCTGCTAGATTCCTTAGCAATTGTCTGCGTGTATACAGTAGTCCATTTCGCCATGGTACCCTTTATGTCTTAACTTTTTGCTTTTTGTATTCTGACAGATGTTTTGGTTTACTTATTTCCCCCGGGAGAAATGTTCAACACAGTGACATGCAGTTGATTGAGCTGGTGAGTGACCGTTGATTTCTGACAGCTTTTGTAATGCAGATTTCTTACATGGCAGTTACACACCACATGTGTCATTCTTATAAACAGTGTCATGTGTCTTTTTAACCCTCTTGCTCTTAGAAGACTAAATCTAGTCACTCTTAGATGTGACACAGTCCCGTAATTGCAGATATATCAGCCTGTCTACAGTGACCTGTTGTCAAAAGGCATAGTTAAATTTCATTGTTTCTGTTTGTACCTGCAAAATGTTTAGAAGGCCAGGATTTGAATCTATTAACTAAAATTTGCATTTTGGGGTGTGGAGATTGTCCAAATGACCCCATCGGCTCTTTTAACTCTTTCAGGCCCATGAATTTTGACAGACTTGGCTCAGATTAATTTCCCTTTGCAAAAATGGTGGGTGTAAAAAAAAAAAGGCTGTTGAGAATTATAGAGAACCATTTTCTATCTAATAAGTTATGTTACAGAAAGAATGACGTCAGGTAATGAATATGAATGAGATATTTGAATGTGACGAATGCAAAGCCGAGATGCACTGGAAAATGTTGACCAAATGAAACCTGTGCGAATTGGAGAGCACGAGAAAGTCGAATGTGGGCGTAATTATAAAGTGGGTGGCAGAAGATTATATAATGCCGTAGAAAGAACATGTGGACAGTCTTGTTTGGGCCAAGAAACTGTTTGCATGGAGAGTGGACACGTATTTGTATCAAGTTTGTGTCTGATGTGATTGTAAAGTTTCTAATGCCTACCTGGCCATCAGCAAATACTGATGGAAACCGTCTGCCGCCTGATTGTGTGTGTTCGCCCGTCATGGAAAACAGTAGTTTTGGTTCAATTTCTGTTGTGTAAGGAACGGCTGTAATTTCTGCTAAAAGGTAAAATTGATCCTTATCTAGGTGTATTTGAGTAGACGTAGTTACCTCCTTATGTACTGGCTGAATAAACAGCGAGTGGGGAATAAAGAGTGAAAATGCATCGTGTCCTTCAATGTCATCCATTTTTCACCCGTGGTGTTGACTGTCAGTGCACAAGTGAGAAGTCTGCAAGTGATTGGAGCCAAAGTGAATAAAAACAGAGTCATTGCAAAATGTAATATATTTCTAGTCCCTATATAAGTATATTTTTTTTTAAAGAGAAATGAATGTACATTTTAAATTTGATGATATGTTTTTGTTTTATACTGTTTTAGTTAGTAGGAAAAAAGAATTCAGCAGGTGTTATGTTTACAGAGACTACGTTACCAAAAAAAGTCTTCACTTACCATGGTTTTGCAGTGAATATCCATATTTGGGCTAGTTTATCACTCAGAGGCTCTAAGTTCTTATAAAGTGCTTAATAAAATTTCACAGAAAAAATGGCAGAAAATTGACCTATAGTCCTGTACACACAAAATATTATATTTGTAGTTATGTAGCTGCAGTGATGTCACTGCAGCTTAGCCATAGTATGAGCATAGTCCTGTCTGAAACAGTCCACCGCCCAGCTGCCTCTGGTGTAAATTTACCGTTCGAATCACTTTTTAAAAAATTTCAAGTTTTCATTTTTAAAAACATCTGACTGAAACAATGTCAGAGCTTCAGCCACAGAAAGTTGCATTTTTTGGCTTGTGAGTGTGTTTGGATCATTGGTAACCATGGCCACTTGAACACGAAATCATAAAATGCAGTGTCTCAAAATCACGCTAGCAATGACTTGGATTAGTTTGCACCCACATGTGCAATTTACAATAAAAAATGTTTATGCAACCTTCCCTGAATACTTTAATGGTAGCTCCAAATATTAGAAATGAATACAGAGCCATATGCGAATTAGTATGTACGGGACACACGATCAACGCAGACAATGTTGTTTAGGCAAATTGGAACTTCTCAATCAACACACACAGCTTTGCTCAGGCCTCAGAGAGTTAAAGCCTGTATGATGTCAAATTTTCACATAAGCCTCATTGATTGAGGTCACGACATGAGTCATGCAATACAGCAGTGGGAATTACGTCGGACTCACACCGCCTAAGCCAAAGACGCTGGCAAATATTTTTTATGCAGAAACATATTTTCATGTGGGCTTTATAAATTGTTCTCTGCAGGTGTCCAGCTATTCTGCGGAATGAGACTGATTCTTATCAGATGAAGTCCTGGTGCTGTAAAACCTCTCCTCTCACCCTTACACCTTGATTAAGTATATGAGGATTACAATTGTTATGTTTGCTCAATTGCCATTTGTTCTCATTGATAGGTGTATCAGATGTCACAGACTTGTTATTTCTCATCTCTGCAGGTTTCCATGGGCTATGCTCCGGACAGCAAACTGTACAACATCGGTGGACACTGGGATCCCTCCGAGAAATGTTTTGCCATATTGAATACGGAAACAGAAAAAGGTTTGTTTTTGCAACTACCCCTGAATCCCTTTGCTACAGATAGGTGATTTAACTATTGGATGCTGATGTCCACCTTGGGGGGTGGAAACTGAGCACCTGTGGATGTGTGTATAGTGTTGGAAAGATAACCCAGCTCATAGCTGCTTGTCAAGAACCTAAATGTCTAGGGTTCAATTCTATTGGCTGCGCTGTAGGCTAATGACAGAAAAACACTACTGACCAACACTGAAGCCAAACACTGGTTGCAACACACACACTTGAAGGCGAACACCTCAGGAGGGGTAGCGCTCCTTATTATGAAATCAGGCCGCTTCTAACTTTAAAATACTTAGAGGCGCCTTTTCACGTTCATGAAATAAGCTCTGAGTCGCTACCACACTCCCGTACAACGCTAACTAAACCAGCTGTCTCCCAGTGCCAAAGAGGCTATGGCACACGCCACACGCCACATGTGGGCTTAGAGGTGTGTTGGCAGATGCTAACGCCACAAACAATGCATGGTCTGGCTTATCGTAAAGTCTAACTACTATCCTAGATCTGATGCAAACTCAGATCTAAATGGAACACATATTATCTGCCCTGTAACGTATTAAATATATTTAATCACACTACGAACATTACAGCTAAACAACTACGATGGCACATTTATACAAGTCAAATCGATCTATCGATGAAACTATCACAATCCAACGGCCCGGTCACACATCAAGCTAACACCACAAGTCTACAACCAAGCCAGTCCAGAACTCTGCCTTGCACAACAGTTTTGTTACATGCTCCCGTGTCCACGTGGCGGTCAGCCTATGTGAAATCCGCCGGCCTTAAATAAGCCACGCTGAGTTTTCACCCAGCTTCATTTAGTACCCACGTTTCTACGTGTGTCTACACCTTCTGAGTTTAGCTAAGGGTCACAGGGTACCTTGGTGGGATTCATCATCATCATACTGAACTGTTCCATAACCCGGGACGACCACTGACACTGCTTGAAATAGGTAGGATCTGATAGGTTACTTGTAACTTATGTGACATGTAAAGGACCTTTCTGTGTCTTCAGGCGTATTGGGCATATAGTAAAAAAAAAACAAACAAAAAGTTACGGTCCCTTTTCCATGCCTTTAGGCGTGTAGGCCAGACCTAAATTTTAAAGACCAATCGCTACTCGGTAGATGATTACGCTGACTGCCTTTACTTCCCAGGACTGTATCTGGTACGCATTCAAGGCTGGGTCGGCCTGGGAGCAAGGTCATGATCTGGCCAACATTACGCTGACTGCCTTTACTTCCCAGGACTGTATCTGGTACGCATTCAAGGCTGGGTCGGCCTGGGAACAAGGTCGTTTTTGAAACATTTACGATACTGTCAGGACCTGGGCCAGCAATCTTAGGATCCGCAAGCAAGCGTCTAGCCGCTACACCCCGGCGGCTCCCTTATGTTATATGACCATTTATTGACCTGAACCAACAATCTTTGGATCCCCAAGCAAGCGTCTAGCCACTACACCCCAGCGGCTCCCTTATGTTGTATCACCATTTATTGACCTGAACCAACAATCTTAGGATTCCTAAGCAAGCGTCTAGCCACTACACCCCGGCGGCTCCCTTATGTTGTATGACCATTTATTGACCTGAACCAACAGTCTTTGGATCCGCAAGCAAGCGTCTAGCCGCTACACCCCGGCGGCTCCCTTCTGTTGTATGACCATTTATTGACCTGAACCAACAGTCTTAGGATCCCCAAGCAAGCGTCTAGCCGCTACACACCAGCGGCTCCCTTCTGTTATATGACCATTTATTAACCTGAACCAACAGTCTTTGGATCCCCAAGCAAGCGTCTAGCCGCTACACCCCGGCGGCTCCCTTATGTTGTATCACCATTTATTGACCTGAACCAACAGTCTTTGGATCCGCAAGCAAGCGTCTAGCCGCTACACCCCGGCGGCTCCCTTATGTTATATGACCATTTATTGACCTGAACCAACAATCTTTGGATCCCCAAGCAAGCGTCTGGCCACTACACACCAGCGGCTCCCTTATGTTGTATGACCATTTATTGACCTGAACCAGCAATCTTTGGATCCGCAAGCAAGCGTCTAGCCGCTACACCCCGGCGGCTCCCTTATGTTGTATCACCATTTATTGACCTGAACCAACAGTCTTAGGATCTGCAAGCAAGCGTCTAGCCGCTACACCCCGGCGGCTCCCTAAGTTATATGACCATTTGTGACCTGAACCAACAATCTATTGTTAAATTGATGTAGCTTATACATTCCGGCGGCGCCATCAATGGGTATCACCATTTATTGACCTGAACCAGCAATCTTTGGATCCACAAGTGAGCGTCTAGCCGCTACACCCTGGCGGCTCCCTTATGTTGTATGACATTTATTGACCTGAACCAGCAATCTTTGGATCCACAAGTGAGCGTCTAGAAGATTGCCCCTTATGTTGTATGACCACATGCTGACCTGAACCAACAGTCTTAGGATCCGCAAGCAGCACTACCACTACACCCCGGCGGCTCCCTTATGTTGTATGACCATTTATTGACCTGAACCAACAGTCTTAGGATCCGCAAGCAAGCGTCTAGCCGCTACACCCCGACGGCTCCCTTATGTTGAATGACCATTTATTGACCTGAACCAACAATCTTAGGATCCGCAAGCAAGCGTCTGGCCACTACACCCCGACGGCTCCCTTATGTTGAATGACCATTTATTGACCTGAACCAACAGTCTTAGGATCCGCAAGCAAGCGTCTGGCCACTACACCCCGACGGCTCCCTTATGTTGAATGACCATTTATTGACCTGAACAAACAGTCTTAGGATCCGCAAGCAAGCGTCTGGCCACTACACCCCGACGGCTCCCTTATGTTGAATGACCATTTATTGACCTGAACCAACAATCTTAGGATCCGCAAGCAAGCGTCTGGCCACTACACCCCGACGGCTCCCTTATGTTGAATGACCATTTATTGACCTGAACAAACAATCTTAGGATCCGCAAGGAGGCGTCTGGCCACTACACCCCGATGGCTCCCTTATGTTGAATGACCATTTATTGACCTGAACAAACAATCTTAGGATCCGCAAGCAAGCGTCTGGCCACTACACCCTGGCGGCTCCCTAATGTTATATGACCATTTGTGTGTGTGTGGCACTATTGTTAAATTTATGTATTTATATATTCTTTCATACATAAAATGGGATGAATTTAAGAGGGGTGAAGAAATCAGACAATTGTCTGGGCAACCATTGGTAACAGTTATAAGAAGATTGACCTGTATTGGCCACATGCTGACCAGAAACCAGCAGAGAGTCACCAGACAGGCACAACAATGGGAAAAAGAGGGATTGAGGAAGCGAGTCTGTCTAAATGAAACCCTAAAAGGAACATTAGGGAGAGAGGCTGAAGGTAATGGACTGAATTCTATCTGATATCGAAGTGCTTGTACAGAATAGAACATAATGAAGGAATAGATTGTGAGCCCTGAGTGACATATAATGGTACAACAGAACAATGATAATGCTGTCAGTTCTTGGAGATTTGTACTCATACAAAGTTTGTGACATTTTTGTCTGTGTTACTTTAAATAGTTCTGTAAACTGAAGCTTGATAAATACATTTTCTATAGTCTTAGATAGTTGTCACAGAATAAAGCTTTCTTACTTCAGAAATTATCAGTAATAGTTTCAGTAGTTCTAAAAATTATCACAAAACAGTCATCTAGTCCAGAACAATCTTCATCTAGTTCTTAATGAGCCCAAAGGTTTCATTTCTAGTCTTAGACTAAAGGTTTCATCTATGGAATAAAGGTTTCATCATCTCTAGCCTAAAGGTTTCATCTAGTCTAAAGGTTTCATCTAGTCTAAAGGTTTCATCTAGTCTAAAGGTTTCATCTAGTCTAAAGGTTTCATCTAGCCTAAAGGTTTCATCTAGTCTAAAGGTTTCATCTAGTCTAAAGGTTTCATCTAGTCTAAAGGTTTTGATAGATTAAATTAGATCATGTAAACATCTGAGTTTTGATTGGAAAGGCAGGCCATAAAGATTCCCCTCTTTTTCCCCCAGATACCAGTGTCTTCTTGACTGTGGCAGTTGACCTAGTTTTATTTGGAATTCAAGAACCTGTTAGGTTTATACTGGAGACCAAGGCAAAAATATTTCCTAGTACTGACCGGTTCTGGTACCTCAGTCGTAAAGCATATGTTGAACACTTCAACATTAGGCTCAAACAGGTATGTTGTTGCAGTTCATCATTAGTCCTAAACAGGTATGCGGCATGTTTCAGCGTTAGATTTGTTGTAGGCATATATGAATTGGGCTGATCTGAGACCAAGCTGTGAGAATACAGAATAAATGGAAAATGTGAATTTGATAAGTTCACCTTCAAAGGAACACAATTTCATTGCAGCTACAAAGCCATACATGTTAGATGAAATTGAGGACAAGAAGATACTAAGACAACTACGTGAATATGCAAATGGTGTAAACCAGCAGTCCCATGCCAGACACTAGTTGGCTTGTATATGCTTGTGTGACTTTGTTGGGTGCTCTCTGTTCTTGTTGAATGTCTGGTTTCTGTGTACTTGAGATGCCATACTGCTTTTAGTTATCATTGACTCTTGGCGTTGATGTGTTTTTTGTTTAAATTTACAACTTGAAGAGTATTTTGCTGCTTTTACTTTCTGCTGTCAGCTTATATGCTTCCTCTGCTACTGCCTGCTGCTTCTTCTTATCCTCTTCTCAGTTTTTTTTTTTTTTTTTTTCTCTCCCTTGTCACTGTCCCTAACTTTATCCTTTGTGTATGCTTTCTGCTTCTGCTTATCTCTTACTCTTTCCCTCTCCCTATTCTCTTTCTCCTTCTCCTCTTCTACATTTTTACAGTTTTAATGTAAGTACACATCTGCTTTTCTCATCATGGTGACTATGCGTACACTGTCAGAGTCATAGATTATCTGTCATCCCGGTGACATTGCATACACTGTCAGAGTCATAGACTCTCTGTCATCCCGGTGACAATGCGTACACTGTCAGAGTCATAGACTCTCTGTCATCCTGGTGACATTGCGTACACTGTCAGAGTCATAGACTCTCTGTCATCCTGGTGACATTGCGTACACTGTCTGAGTCATAGACTCTCTGTCATCCCTTGAAGTTCCTTGTAATTGTTTATTGTGAATCTCACAGGTTGGGGGTAATCGAGACAGCAAACATTACGAGGTTGTTCATATCGAAAGTCAAACAGAGACCAAACGACGTAACCACAACATGACCTTGAACCTTACTGGAGGCCTGCGGCCGCCTCCAGATTCTGTGAAAACCCCACAAGAAGATGAAGATTCAGGTAGCTGTGTATTTCTTTTATGTTTATCATCTCTAATTCTGATTTCAGGTACCTTTAATTTTTATGATCTCCTATTCTAGATACCTTTCATGTTCATTATCTCCCATTCTAGCTTCAAGTACCTTTCATGTTCATTATCTCCCATTCTAGCTTGAAGTCCCTTTCATATTTATTATCTCCCGTTCTATTATTTTCTTCCAATCTAGCTCAAAATACCTTTCACTTTCCATTATCTCCAATTCTGTTATTATTTATATTTCTAGCTCCATGTACCTTTCATGTTTGTTATCTCTCATTCTAGCTCCATGTACCTTTCATGTTTATCTCTCATTCTAGCTCCAGGTACCTTTCATGTTTGTTATCTCTCATTCTAGCTCCAGGTACCTTTCATGTTTGTTATCTCTCATTCTAGCTCCATGTACCTTTCATGTTTGTTATCTCTCATTCTAGCTCCATGTACCTTCATGTTTATTATCTCTCATTCTAGTTCCATGTACCTTTCATGTTTATCTCTCATTCTAGCTCCATGTACCTTTCATGTTTATCTCTCATTCTAGCTCCAGGTACCTTTCATGTTTGTTATCTCTCATTCTAGCTCCATGTACCTTTCATGTTTGTTATCTCTCATTCTAGCTCCATGTACCTTCATGTTTATTATCTCTCATTCTAGCTCCATGTACCTTTCATGTTTGTTATCTCTCATTCTAGCTCCATGTACCTTTCATGTTTGTTATCTCTCATTCTAGCTCCATGTACCTTTCATGTTTGTTATCTCTCATTCTAGCTCCATGTACCTTTCATGTTTGTTATCTCTCATTCTAGCTCCAGGTACCTTTCATGTTTATTATCTCTCATTCTAGCTCCATGTACCTTTCATGTTTGTTATCTCTCATTCTAGCTCCATGTACCTTTCATGTTTGTTATCTCTCATTCTAGCTCCATGTACCTTTCATGTTTATTATCTCTCATTCTAGTTCCATGTACCTTTCATGTTTGTTATCTCTCATTCTAGCTCCATGTACCTTTCATGTTTATTATCTCCCATTCTGGCTTCAACTACCTTTCAGTGTTTATTATCTCTCATTCTAGCTCCAGGTACCTTTCATGTTTGTTATCTCTCATACTAGCTCCAGGTACCTTTCATGTTTGTTATCTCTCATTCTAGCTCCATGTACTTTTCATGTTTGTTATCTCTCATTCTAGCTCCATGTACCTTTCATGTTTGTTATCTCTCATTCTAGCTCCAGGTACCTTTCATGTTTGTTATCTCTCATTCTAGCTCCATGTACCTTTCATGTTTGTTATCTCTCATTCTAGCTCCAGGTACCTTTCATGTTTGTTATCTCTCATTCTAGCTCCAGGTACCTTTCATGTTTGTTATCTCTTATTCTAGCTCCAGGTACCTTTCATGTTTGTTATCTCTCATTCTGGCTCCAGGTACCTTTCATGTTTGTTATCTCTCATTCTAGCTCCATGTACCTTTCATGTTTGTTATCTCTCATTCTAGCTCCAGGTACCTTTCATGTTTATTATCTCTCATTCTAGCTCCATGTACCTTTCATGTTTGTTATCTCTCATTCTAGCTCCATGTACCTTTCATGTTTATTATCTCCCATTCTGGCTTCAACTACCTTTCAGCGTTTATTATCTCCCATTCTGGCTTCAAGTACCTTTCAGTGTTTATTATCTCCCATTCTGGCTTCAACTACCTTTCAGTGTGTATTATCTCCCATTCTGGCTTCAACTACCTTTCAGTGTTTATTATCTCCCATTCTGGCTTCAAGTACCTTTCAGTGTGTATTATCTCCCATTCTGGCTTCAACTACCTTTCAGCGTTTATTATCTCCCATTCTGGCTTAAAGTACCTTTCAGTGTTTATTATCTCTCATTCTGGCTTCAACTACCTTTCAGTGTTTATTATCTCCCATTCTGGCTTCAAGTACCTTTCAGTGTGTATTATCTCCCATTCTGGCTTCAACTACCTTTCAGTGTTTATTATCTCCCATTCTGGCTTCAAGTACCTTTCAGTGTTTATTATCTCCCATTCTGGCTTCAACTACCTTTCAGTGTTTATTATCTCCCATTCTGACTTCAAGTACCTTTCAGTGTGATCCACCATTGTCCATATTTACAAAGCAACACTTGATGTGATCGAGTTCATATTTTAGAAAGTCAGTCATTTACTTTGATGTGTATGAGATGTTTAAAAAAAGTGTGTATTTGCTGCTTCTGTGCATGTAATGCACCAATATTTTATTCTTTGTGGTTGTTGCTTTGTTAACACGTCTGCTGTAAAATATCTCCAACTGAAAGTTTTAATAGCATGAGCGATTCTGGTACCTACACATTTGAACTCTTAAAAGTTTTCTCCTGTCTCTGTTTTGTGGAAACAGACTGGGGCACCATGGAGATATCAGCATGCAATAAAAAATTCTTTTTATAAAACCAATCATTGTTATTTTTTGTTTTTTTAAGCAGACACAGACGAACCCCTTCCTAGTGGGTCAGGTGTTGTGAGTAAGGAGGTGACAGATGAAAACCTTCTGGAAGCCTGGTCAGATGTGTTGACCCGCTGGCACCAGAACCTAGCCAGCAAGCCACGCCAGGTGAGCCAGCTTGTACGGAAGACCATCCCCCAAGCTCTGCGTGGAGAAGTCTGGCAGTTGCTAGCTGGTTGCCACAACAATGAAGATTTGCTGGAATCTTACCGAGTGTTAATCACAAAGGTAATACAACTGAGATCAGTTGTTACTGTGTGAGTCAGTTGCTGACAATCTGTGATCTATGTGACCATTTAATTTTTATAGTCTGTTTGTTAGTTAAATATATTCCATTGCATGCTTTCTCTAGGATTGAGTGGGAAACCCTCAGTCTTCCCAGAGTTTTCCTTTCATTTATCAGCAGCCATAACTACTTATACTCTTCATAGTTTTTTTTTCTTTTGTAGCTTTTTAAAAAATCTTGTTTTTGTCCTCACTTTTTTTTTTTTATTTAAAGAATTTTTTTTTAAATTGTTACTGGATTATGAAGACAGTAATAACTGTCAGGAGAACTGACATTGACAGGACCTGCCAGTGCAGTTTCACCATCTTAACTTCACTGAAGACATTTCCCTCATATCCTACTCACATAGTAAGATGCATGATCAACACAGTTGGTAGGGGGGGGGGGGGACACAAAGATAATGAGAATATGAGAGTGAATCAAGCAGAATCAAGTTAGTTAATATTTCTCTTTTAGTGAAATTTCCCTATAATCATACACCTGTTAAGTTAATAACGTGGGCAGTGGTGGAGGCTAGAGTAATGTGGTGGTTACGTGCTTGCCTGTTTGCCTGAATGTCTTGGGTTCATATCCATGTTGAGGCAGATTTATTTGAAAATTGACCTATGCTACCAACTCGTCCTAATCTGGGTACCAGGCAATGTCCTGGGAAGGTGGACAAAGAGAAAACTTTATCTTCGCAATCACCGGCTGTAAACTCAGGGGGAAAGTTCTCGTTGTTCATCCACCTCTGGACTTTATTTTTGTTTTAGAACCTGAGTTTTATGTGCGCAGGTGTTTTACAGATTTGACTTATTTGTATGCAGATTGTTGGTTCCTTGCCTCTCTGGAAATTACACCTCGACTTTGAAGTAAGCTTTTCCCCAATTGGTTGACTTTTATGATATGCTTGTTGGGGAGGCAGCAGGTCTGTTCATGTTTTCCTCACAATGGGCCCTAAAAACAACGAGTTGGGGGGAATACACAAGAATACAAAAGACAAGAAGAGTCTCCATAGCGTTAGGATATCTGTGGAAGTCAGGAGAAGTTAAATCTGATAACAAATTTAGAATATTTCTCTCTTAACAAAAATAACCCTGAGAAGTAGCAGATAATGATTTTAAAAAAGAGGGGGTAGAAGAAGAAGCAAATCTTGTAATGAACACTAGTTTTGACACTTCTATAAATACTGTAAATAGATAGACAGTGTAATGATCAGCATTCATAGAAAGAAGTGGACAAATAGAAGGACACACTAGACAATATAAATATTGAAAGCTGTAGTTACCATGTCTGGAATCAAACTTGTCAAGAATGATCATCATGGTATCTATAGCTTTCAATTGTTATTTTGTCTAGTATGTTCTTCTATCATTCTGCTTCTTTCTGTGAGTGCTAGTCAATACATTTTATGTTTGTTTATATATGTTTTACTGCCTCAGTGGTTTCCTGTCTGTTTTTTGCTCTATTATTACTAGTAGTCAACAGTATGTCACATTGATCTTGTTGCCAGGATTCTCCAAACGATGCAATGATTCAGCGAGACATCAACCGCACATTCCCAGCCCACGATTTCTTCAAGGACGCTGGAGGCCAAGGGCAGGACTCTTTATATAGGATCAGTAAGGTGAGGGGGCGGGAGTCAGTGACTGTCTCCACAAGAACCATGACAGTATTGTGGGCTGGTGTGGTGGTGGTAATTTCACTGTCATTGTCACTGCCATCAGTCCTGTGACACATTACAAGAATTGTACTGTTGGCCCAACTTTGCTGTTTTAAACTTTCTTTGTCATCACTTGACTCATCATACGTCTCTTTAAACAATAACCTTAGTCTTTGCACTAGTTGAATCTCTCATGTAAAAACAAAAAAGTGGGGGGGACGGGTCAGGTTAAGGACCTGTTATCTCCGCCATAGCCAGTCCCAAGGCCAGATGAGAAAGGATGAGGGGTGGGACCAGCTATCCCACCATTGAAAAGAAGTGTGCTACACACTCACAAAACAGGAAGCCATTCGGGCAGACTAGCCAGCCAAGTTGTGCGTGGTGTACATAGGACAGGTATGACAGCAGCTGCAGAAGTCAATGGCCAGACATGTTCACTACTTGAGTCAGCATTATTTGCTAGGTGTGGATATTGGAATTTTAGAACCATGATGAAAACAACCAAATCTGTCCAGTAGCAGAGGAAGTAGCATTGTTGTGAGAGGTCAGAGGTACTGGACTTGATTCCATCCAAGATATAGAAATGATCGCACAGGATAGAACAGGATGGACGACTATATTGTGAGCCCTTTGGTACATGTATTGGCACCACATAATGATGATGGTGGTGGTGATAAGGGCCAAATAACCTCCCATGTGTGGCTTAGAGGTTAGTAAACTCTTTTAACAATTTCATGATCCTGGAGTACTAGGGTTCAGTCTTCAAGGTAGATTTTTTTTATTTTTTAAACCTGTTTTTGGACAAAAGTACAAGAGGTGCATCAGGGCAGAGATTGGGCATCACTGTGGAATATTTCCAGACACATCAGTGGGTGTCCTGTAGCCAACCTTTATTGTGGAGACGGCACAGGATCTATTTATGAATATGTTATTAACATACCATGCTGGGTGACACAAGTGCTTCTTCAGTCTGCTTCCAGAGATCTTCTTAGTGTTTACTGGCTGTCAACTTCTGCAAACATTTCTGGTTGTTTTTCCACTTCTGGGGTTAAGTCTTTTTCCAGAACTTGAGTTTTGCATACATATCAGTTTAACAGTTTACTTGTATGCAGACTGTTGGCTCCTCACCTCTCAGGCGGATGTGCTCCGATTTCAGAAGAAAAATCCCTGATTAGTCATCTTTTACGACATTCGTTAGGTGAGCAGTGGGTCTATTTTTTTCCATAAAATACGGCCCCGAAACCCACACAGGGAGCTACCAGGGATCACACAAGGAGAATCTCAGCACAGTGCACAAACCCTAAATGTCAGTGAGTAACGAAATATATGTATATAACATTAATGGATAAGTCAGACGCACTGTGGTGATGTTGTAAGTTACAGTAACTGTCTTGTTTTTGTCTGCTTAATGCCACTGGGGGGTCACAATCTAACAGATGATAACCAGAATGCTTTGAGCTGCTTAGTATGCTGTGATGTTGTGATGCTGTTAAGCTGTTAGTGATTCCTTCAATCCAGCCTGTTTTCCATCTCCCTCCCTGCCCCAGGATGTTTCCATTTTCATTTTGTATGCTCTCGATGCTGGTATCATTGGGTTCATTCACACTTGGTGACCAAACCATTTCAGTCTTTGCTTCTCAGTGAATTTAATTATGGGTATTATTCCAAGAGTTCTTATCTCTTTATTTCTCTCACAATATCCTCTGGTTTTGTTTGCAGCTGTTCTCAAACATCTCATGTTACAGGTGGTTAGTTTCTCTCATGATATCCTTTGGTTTTGTTTGCAGCTGTTCCCAAACATCTCATGTAGCAGGTGGTTAGTTTCTCTCATGATATCCTTTGGTTTTGTTTGCAGCTGTTCCCAAACATCTCATGTTGCAGGTGGTTAGTTTCTCTCATGATATCCTTTGGTTTTGTTTGCAGCTGTTCCCAAACATCTCATGTTGCAGGTGGTTAGTTTCTCTCATGATATCCTTTGGTTTTGTTTGCAGCTGTTCCCAAACATCTCATGTTGCAGGTGGTTAGTTTCTATCATGATATCCTTTGGTTTTGTTTGCAGCTGTTCCCAAACATCTCATGTTGCAGGTGGTTAGTTTCTCTCATGATATCTTTTGGTTTTGTTTGCAGCTGTTCTTAAACATCTCATGTTGCAGGTGGTTAGTTTCTCTCATGATATCCTTTTTTTTTTGTTGGCAGCTGTTCCTAAACATCTCATGTTGCAGGTGGTTAGTTTCTCTCATGATATCCTTTGGTTTTGTTGGCAGCTGTTCTCAAACATTTCATGTTGCAGGTGGTTAGTTTCTCTCATGATATCCTTTGGTTTTGTTTGCAGCTGTTCCCAAACATCTCATGTAGCAGGTGGTTAGTTTCTCTCATGATATCCTTTGGTTTTGTTTGCAGCTGTTCCCAAACATCTCATGTTGCAGGTGGTTAGTTTCTCTCATGATATCCTTTGGTTTTGTTTGCAGCTGTTCCCAAACATCTCATGTTGCAGGTGGTTAGTTTCTATCATGATATCCTTTGGTTTTGTTTGCAGCTGTTCCCAAACATCTCATGTCGCAGGTGGTTTCTATCATGATATCCTTTGGTTTTGTTTGCAGCTGTTCTCAAACATCTCATGTCGCAGGTGGTTAGTTTCTCTCATGATATCCTTTGGTTTTGTTTGCAGCTGTTCCCAAACATCTCATGTTGCAGGTGGTTAGTTTCTCTCATGATATCCTGGTTACGACGAGGTTTTGGTTATGTCCAGCTGTTCCTCAAACATCTCACTGTTGCAGGTGTAAGCTGTGATCATCTGTGGGTTCATGTTGGACTGTCTCTTATTTTCAGTGTCATTGTTGTTACTGCAATCTTTGCTGCCAGTGTCATCATTATGTAACAGCTGTTGTTGTGAACAGTCATAATTTTTTTGTGTATTGCTGTTACCGTTACTACCACTGCCATTGGTCACCATCATTGAATTGTCAGTTTTGTATCTGCCAGCGGCGTTGTAATAATTTCGGTCACTTTAGTCACTACCATCACTTTCGTCATCAAGATCACTGTCATTATTACTCTTTATCATCATCCCATCACCTCCATGATAGTTGTCGATTTATGCATCACGGTCGCCTCCATGCCCTGAGGTGTATCATTACCACCATCATAGTTGTCAATTTATGCATCACGGTCACCTCCATGCCCTAATGTGTATCATCACCACCATCATAGTTGTCAATTTATGCATCACAGTCGCCTCCATGCCCTGAGGTGTATCATTACCACTATCATAGTGGTCGATTTATGCATCACGGTCGCCTCCATGCCCTGAGGTGTATCATTACCACTATCATTGTTGTCGATTTATGCATCACGGTCGCCTCCATGCCCTGAGGTGTATCATTACCACTATCATAGTTGTCGATTTATGTATCACGGTCGCCTCCATGCCCTGAGGTGTATCATTACCACCATCATAGTTGTTGATTTATGCATCACGGTCGCCTCCATGCCCTGAGGTGTATCATCACCTCCATCATAGTTGTCGATTTATGTATCACAGTCGCCTCCATGCCCTGAGGTGTATCATTACCACTATCATAGTTGTCGATTTATGTATCACGGTCGCCTCCATGCCATGATGTGTATCATCACCACTATGATAGTTGTCGATTTATGCATCACAGTCACCTCCATGCCCTGAGGTGTATTGAACATATGGAGCTAGATTAATGTTTATGGAATAGTTGGCATTTGCATTTTTAACCTTCCTCCCCATTGCACTAATTTTTTTTCTTTTCCTTCCTTATATTCCTTTTGCTGGGTCACTTCCAGTCAATTAATTTTCTAACCTTGTGCCTCACAGAACAAGAGAGAAGTTGCAGGATAAGAGGAACAAACAATTTATTTTGATGTGTTTTGGTTGAGTTACTGTAATATTGTTATCCCACCCCCCCCATTTGCACTGCAGCCAAATATGAACTCATTAGCTCTGTTTTTTTTTTCTAGGTCATCAGGGTTAAAGCAATAGCTGTATCTTTGAAGGTTCAGATAAGGGCAATTGTGATTAGAGGGACTGAATTAACAGTTGGGATAGAATGGGTTAAAGCTGTAGCTAGATTGCGTATATGGTGCATAACATGTGGCAGGTAAATCCATTAAACTCTGATGCATTGAACGATACTGAGAGAGTGAAGCAAGTGGATCAATCCAAACCCCTCGACCCAGACAATTCTATCGAACAAATCCCGAAGTGGCACTGCATGCCTGACTGATGGTTATGTTAAACATCCGCAGATGCCAGAAGAGCAGGCGTTCTGTGTCCTGGTGAAGATCATGTATGACTACCAGCTGCGGGAACTCTTCAAACAGGGCTTCCACGCCCTGCACCTCAAGTTCTATCAGTTGGAGCGGCTCATGCAGGTAGGAGCGGGCTGTGCTTGGAGAGATCTCCTTTACTGCCTTGGCCATTATAACTACCTACCATATTTCCTGTAAAATTACCTACTATATTTCCCGTATTATTACCTACTGTATTTCTCCAAGTATAAGACAATTCCATACCAAAGATGCACCTGGATTTTGGGACCGGAAATTTAGAGAGAAAAAAATAATATGATTACATAAAGTTATTGAATTTGCATTTTTTTTCATCCCAGAATCCATAAAACTCCTCATCAAGTGCATGCCTGTTGTGCCAGACATAGGTGCTAGATGTTTACTTTCATCACCACAGGCTGTAGTTTTTTTTAATGTATTTGTTTTTTTAAAGCTTATCTCTACTTTACGTGTCAACTGCTTGGAAAAGCAACTTGTTTTCTTCAGTCCTGGAAAAAACAAAAACTGGGACAGACTAGCAGTGATATGGATGTTATAAAAATATTGTGTTTAAATGTGAGAGAATCTGCTTTATCGCCCTAGATTTTATCCCATATGGTTCAATCTCACCACAGAGTAGCTGGTTGCCTACTGAGAGCATCACTCAAAGCATAAAGCCTTTTGCTGTAGCAACAATCCCCAGAGATCTCTGAAAGAAAATAACTTTTGATGCAGACTCAAAATAAACCAACAGCTTCTGAGTTGCAAGGCAAACGGTTTGACCATTTCACCACCTTGGGGGGTATGGGTGTGGTTAGAAAACAGATATATGGAGGGGTCGGGATGCTGTTATAGACAGACACTTTTGGGTCAAGGGAAGGAAGGAAGAGAGAAAGACAGACCAGTAAATAAACACAGCAACAAGCAATACAACCTAGCCACATTGGATTATAGATTCATTACTTCATAACTATGATGTCCTTATATAACTGTGTTATTCGGTTGAACAGGGTTTCTGTTATTTGTTCCTGTTTCATTCTCATCTATATAGTAGCTCTTTCAGTCATTAAGTAGAAGTCTTTCAAATTGCAGTTGTTTAAAAGGGGGAGGGGGATACACACATGGGTGTGTGAAAAGAAAAACAGAAAGAAGAAAAACCCAAACTAAATCATTCAATTGTTGACCTTTTCCTCCCCCAGGATCAACTGCCGGACCTTCACGAGCACTTCCTGGAGATGGGTCTGGAGGTGCACATGTTTGCCTCCCAGTGGTTCCTCACCCTGTTTACTGCCAAGTTTCCACTGCATGTCGTCTTTGCCATCTTAGACCTCTTCCTTAGCGAGGTATGTAAGAGTAGTTTGTTAACAGTTAGGTCACTTCTTTTGTGTGGTATGTCAGTAGTTAGACCTCTCTCAGTAATGTTTGCTTGGTTAGTTAGTTCTCTTGCTCAAAATATTTGGCACTTTATAAGGCTGGAGTCAAGGCACATACTTGGACATTGGTGTGTAGTTAGATCTATTGTTCGTTGAGATATGTATGAGTCAGATCTATTCTTCACTGAGATATCTATGACTCAGATTTATTGTTCATTGAGATATGCATGAGTCAGCTCTATACTTTATTGAGATATGTATGAGTCAGATCTGTTCTTCACTGAGATATCTATGACTCAGATTTATTGTTCATTGAGATATGCATGAGTCAGCTCTATACTTTATTGAGATATGTATGAGTCAGCTCTATACTTTATTGAGATATGTATGAGTCAGATCTGTTCTTCACTATGATATAAGTACTTAGGTCTGTTCCTCAATGAGGTTTGCATAGTTAGATCTCATTTCTTACTGAGGTGTATGAATATTTATGTATGTTTCTCCATGTTGTATGTGTGTAGATTTGGCTTTAACTCAGGTGTGAACAGTTCTGATACAGACCTAGCACAGTTCTTACTTATAAACAATACTTCTTCAGTCCCCTCTGAGTCATGGACAGGGTGGTCTGTTCACCACTAGTCCCCCACAGCTTCTATAGTATTATAGCTCAATTGGGCTGAATTCACAACCTTTGGGTGGAGTAGTTAGGGCTGTCGTGCAGTACATGCGTTGGGGCAGTCCTGTAGTACATGTGCAGGAGTGTCTGTCTTCCACATTCACCAGTGGCAGGCTCTTATATGCCCATCGTGTGTGAGGCTGTCCTGTCTGAAACTTTAAAACTGTTGTTTGTTCTTTCTTGAGAAACAACACATTTCTGTCTCAGTAACAGCACTGTTCTGACTCATAAACAGCACAATTCTGACTCATAAACAGTACAATTCTCACTCATAAACAGCACAGTTCTGACTCATAAACAGCACAGTTCTGACTCATTAACAGCACAGTTCTGACCCATAAATAGCACAGTTCTGACTCATAAACAGCACAGTTCTGACACATAAACAACACAGTTCTGTCCCATAAACATTACAGTTCTGTCCCATAAACAACACAGTTCTGACACATAAACAGCACAGTTCTGACTCATAAACAACACATTTCTGACTCATAAACAGCACATTTCTGACTCATAAACAGCACAGTTCTGACCCATAAACAGCACAGTTCTTACCCACGAATAACACCATTCTGACTCATAAACAGCACAGTTCTGACTCATAAACAGCACCATTCTGACTCATAAACAACACAATTCTGACTCATTGTTTGTTTGTTTGTTTGCTTTAGTATCCAGAAGCCATGAGTTGTTAACCCTTAGGCTCGGTATTATGGATATCGCAACCTTTCGGCCTTGATTCCATTGTAAACACCGTAAATCTGGGATAAATGTGGCTTTTCTGCCTACCCCCAGGAGTGAACCCGGACCACAAGGAGTTCGTCACCCGCTCACCGCGCAATCCGGTTTAGCCAACTACGCTAGAGAGCCGGGCAATTCTGACTCATAAACAACACAATTCTGTCTTAAGTAACAACACAGTTCTGACTCATAAACAGCACCATTCTGACTCATAAACAGCACAATTATGACATATAAACAACAGTTCTGACTCATAAACTGCACAATTATGACTCATAAACAACAGTTCTGACTCATAAACTGCACAATTCTGACTCATAAACAGCACAGTTCTGACTTATAAACAGACAAGTTCTTACCCATAAATAACACAGTTGTGACTCATAAACAGCACCATTCTGACTAATAAACATCACCATTCTGACACATAAACAACACAGTTATGACCCATAAACAACACATATTATGGCTAAGAGAGCACAATTCTGACTCCTATGTAACTGATCAAACAGCTGTAAGAGATGCTCACATGTTATTGTTGATCTCTCCCACCTGCAGGGACACCTGATCATATTCACTGTGGCTCTGGCTCTGCTCAAGGTAAGAACTGACCTTTGACATCATTGTTCATAGATTTCCATGATGCCACAGTCATTGTCTGTTGATTGTTCTGTGAACAGTAGCACATCCCAGGGGCTAGGGAGAGATACGGCCACAGTCATTGTCTGTTGATTGTTCTGTGAACAGTAGCACATCCCAGGGGCTGGGGAGATATACGGCCACAGTTATTGTCTGTTGATTGTTCTGTGGACAGTAGCACATCCCAGGAGCTAGAGAGATATACAGCCACAGTCATTGTCTGTTGATTGTTCTGTGGACAGTAGCACATCCCAGGGGCTAGGGAGATATACGGCCACAGTCATTGTCTGTTGATTGTTCTGTGGACAGTAGCACATCCCAGGAGCTAGAGAGATATACAGCCACAGTCATTGTCTGTTGATTGTTCTGTGGACAGTAGCACATCCCAGGGGCTAGGGAGATATACGGCCACAGTCATTGTCTGTTGATTGTTCTGTGGACAGTAGCACACCCCAGGAGCTAGAGAGAGATACAGCCACAGTCATTGTCTGTTGATTGTTCTGTGAACAGTAGCACATCCCAGGGGCTAGGGAGATATACGGCCACAGTTATTGTCTGTTGATTGTTCCGTGGACAGTAGCACATCCCAGGGGCTGGGGAGATATACAGTTGGCTGTTGATTGTTCCGTGGTCAGTTCTTTTAGGCCAAGGGTGGGAAATCAGGTGCAACTAATCCCACAAATAAAGTTTGAGACTTTCAGGGAAACAAATACAATCAAATACAGATGTTTTAGAGAGACAGCCATTGAAAAAGAATTACTGAAAGTAATAACAATTTTACAGTTTAAATATTGTGTCCCCGTTGAGTTACTAACACTCTTTTAAAAACCATTCTGGAGAGAAAGGTCAGGGGCAAGAGAAGAAGAGGTAGACTATGATGCAAGTGGGAGGACAACATCAAGAGATAAACAAGCAGCATTCTGAGAGAGTGTACAACCAAGTCAAGAGGACGCTTTAGAGATTCATTGTTGCCAACCTTTACATTGGAGATGGCAACTGATTGCTAAATTTGGAGAGAAAGAGGGGCAGAGGGGGAAAGCAGATACTGAACAGTCTGGCATCATTATGGCATGGAGGGGCATGGTGTAAAATAATTGAAAGTGCCCAAGGTCCAAGGCTGTAAACAGGGGGGACTATCAGTGCCACACAGCATGCACCATTGACAGAAGTGCTATAGATGCAGATTGAGGTGTCAAGTGTTGTCCCCTGCCATATTCTAAGCCATGACAAATGAGATGTGGTAGCATTGTCCCTTTCTCATTGCTTTTCTTCTCAAACAGTTTCCAAAAATGTGTGATAATTATCTGGCAGGTTGTTAGAAAAAGGTGAAGCTTCCCCTTTACCTGCCAGTGGCATTTCAGGCAAATCAGGCTAGCCTCATTTTTGTATAGGCCCTCAATGGCAGATATGGTCAACATCTTGCCACATCTGGAAGGTTCCACTTTCAAAAATGAAAGCGACATTTCCCTGCCCCCACATGAATTCATAGGCAAGTGTAAATGATGTTACAGATCCCTACAGAATTTTCCACAGGGATCTCCAAACAGCAAAGTGAAATAACTAATGACTTGAATGTTTTTTGTTATATAAAGTTCATACAGTTTTACATTGAAGCAGTGGGCAAAGTGACAATTCCAGTAAAATGGTGATTGCATATAGATTGAAGTTCTGCCTACAACAACAACAAAATGAACATTAATCTCCCTATCACATACCCTCTCTCACCTTCTTTCCCTGCCCACTATAGCAGATTTATAAACGCTGTTTCTAATCCCCTCCTGCAGTCTTCTCGCAAGGACCTCCTGGCTCATGACTTTGAAGGAGTACTGAAATATTTCCGTGTACACCTGCCCAAGAAGTATCGAGGGGAAGAGTCCGCACAGGAGCTCACCCAGCTGGCCGTCAGTATGAAGGTATTTACTGTGGATACTTCGTTTTCACTTCTGTTTTTCTGATGTAAATCTTTTTCATCATCATCATCTTCTTTTTCTACTACTATTACTTCTTCTTTTCTTTCTTTCTGCCTTGCCTTTCAACATCAGGTTGTGAGGATACAATTAGTTTGAACCTTTCAACATCAGTTTGTAAGGATACATCTGGTGTGAACCTTTCAACATCAGGTTGTGAGGATACATCTCAACCTTTCAACATTAGGTTGTGAGGATACATCTCAACCTTTCAACATCAGGTTGTGAGGATACATCTCAACCTTTCAACATCAGGTTGTGAGGATACATCTCAACCTTTCAACATCAGGTTGTGAGGTAACATCTGGTGTGAACCTTTCATTATCTGGTTGTGAGGATACATCTGGTGTAAAGTTTTCATTATCTGGTTGTGAGGATACATCTGGTGTGAACTTTTCATTATCAGCTTGTGAGGATACATCTAGTGTGAACCTTTCAACATCAGGTTGTGAGGATACATCTGGTGTGAACCTTTCAACATCAGGTTGTGAGGACACATCTGGTGTGACCCTTTCAACACCCGGTTGTGAGGATACATCTGGTGTGAACCTTTCAACATCAGGTTGTGGGGATACATCTGGTGTGAAATTTTCAATATCAGGTTGTGAGGATACATCTGGTGTGACCCTTTCAACATCAGGTTGTGAGGATACATCTGGTGTGAACCTTTCAATATTAGGTTGTGGGGATACATCTGGTGTGAACCTTTCAACATCAGGTTGTGAGGATACATCTGGTGTGAACCTTTCAACATCAGGTTGTGAGGACACATCTGGTGTGACCCTTTCAACATCAGATTGTGAGGATACATCTGGTGTGAACCTTTCAACATCAGGTTGTGGGAATACATCTGGTGTGAATCTTTCAGTATCAGGTTGTGAGGACACATCTGGTGTGACCCTTTCAACATCAGGTTGTGAGGAGACATCTGGTGTGAACCTTTCAACATCAGGTTGTGAGGATACATCTGGTGTGACCCTTTCAACATTAGGTTGTGAGAACATATCTGATATGAACCTTGATTTGGGCTGCATAGATGGGGGTATTTATAGCCTCAGTTATGTAATCAGGTGGCTGGATCTCACTTGGAGAATAGAGGATGGTAGAGTCCCTAGATTGTAAACAATAACAACAGCTGATAAGTAAATGTTACTGTGCATTATGTATAGAATAACAACAGCTGATGAGTAAATGTTACTGTGTATTATGTATAGAATAACAACAACTGATGAGTAAATGTTACTGTGTATTATGTATAGAGTAACAACAGCTGGTGAGTAAATGTTACTTTGTATTATGTATAGAATAACAACAGCTGATGAGTAAATGTTACTGTGTATTATGTATAGAATAACAACAGCTGATGAGTAAATGTTACTGTGTATTATGTATAGAATAACAACAGCTGATAAGTAAATGTTACTGTGTATTATGTATAGAATAACAACAGCTGATAAGGACATATTACTGTGTATCAATACTTTCTCAAAAACATGATGGTTCCAGTTCCATGTGGGTTTTGGGTTCTATTTGGACCAACATACAGATAAAAGAGGAAAAACTAAAAGAGGAAGAGGACATGGGAGGAAAGTACAGTCGAGTCTGAATAAGTAGAAGTCACAGGGACCTAAGAAAAGGCTTCCACTTATCAGGACTTCTACTTATCCAGACAGCACACACAATAGAGACAATTGCCGGGACTAAGCTGGTCATGTCGACTTAACTGAAATTCGAATTATCCGAGTTCGACTTATGTGGACTCGACTGTAGTTTATTGGTAGCATGCCAGTCTGTTTTATGTGGACTCGACTGTAGTATATTGGTAGCATGCCAGTCTGTTTTATGTGGACTCGACTGTAGTATATTGGTAGCATGCCAGTCTGTTTTATGTGGAAGAGAAAAGAATACTGCCACAGTGAGTAGGTTAATGAGCTGTCACAAAAATGGACTACCAACAGAGCGACATGCTAAAAAACAGTTGCCTTGTCCTCTGCGAATATTCCTACTTCTTCTATGTTCACTAGGCTGTGATATCTGTGGCCTTTGACCCAACACATTCAGTTTCATTTGTGTTGATTTGCGTGAAATATTTATGAAAATCTACAATAATACGAGCGGCTGATGAACCAAGCACTTCAACAGGAAAGTGAAGTAGGTCTAAGCTTTTTACAGTCCAACAGGTGATCGATACTTTGGTTGATTCAGACTCTGCGGGGTCATAATTTCATGAAGAATACGTTCCCAGTTGAAGTGACACAGCAGTGAGAGCTGGAATGATGAGGAGAATCTTGAAAATTATAAATCTAGAAATAGATCGAAAGTAGGAGAAGGGGGCATGTCCCTCAAACATCAACATCTGGTGTTCACTTTGTGAAACAAAGTTGATATTGCTGGCTGGATTAGCACACAAAGATGGAATATTGGCGCTAGATGAAAGGTAAACCTATTTTCTACAACGACTCCAAGTTTCATCTTATTCTAGCCACTTTTTTGCATGTAACTAATATTTTTGTATATCATGTTGGTTTTTTGCGTTAATGCCCAGGAGCTCAGGTTTAGGAAGCAATAAGGTTCAGGGCCTGAGGTCTGGTAGGGTTAACTGTTACACAACAGTACACTACACCCAGTTAAGCTCCTGTCAGAGAGAAGTGTCAATGTTTGGTATTGGCACCCATTCCATGTTATACTTTTTGAAGGATTGTATTGACTTCATTACTCAGATTGTGGTTGGCTCGCTAGTGGAAGCTATAATCATCTACTGGTCTTCCTCAGGTCAGCAGTCGCAAGCTGAAGAAATATGAGAAGGAGTATCAGGTGATACAGGAGCAGAGTCTGCAACAAGAGAACCCTATTGAGAGGTTTGAGGTGAGTCTCTGGGTATAGTTAGGTTAGTTGTCAGGTGATACTGTTGTGAATTTTCTTTCAGATGCAGTTTTCATTACTGGCTTGCAGAATCAGTGACATTTGGAGTAGCAATGGTTTTGATGTTATTTTCTATTTCAGTTTTATATATATATTTGTGTTTGTTTGCTGATTAAGTTATTTTTTAAATTTTTATTAGATTCAAGTCACCTAATTTTGCTAAAAAGCTGCTGTTGTCGTTTGCTGCTTCCTGTATCATTTATAACAAATAATCATAACAGAAAAGTGTCACATCTTTCATGCTTGTATTCACATCTATGGTGATTTGTAAAGTATTTCCCAATATTGTGTTACCACTGCCAAATGTTAACATTAACAACCAAAGGAAAATCAAAATGTCAGAAACAACATTTTTGCGATGAATTCCAAAGACAACAAGAAGAGGCAGAATCAGAAATGAGGATATCAAGAAAAGGGTTGGGACGGAGCCAGTGCTAAACCAAATCAAGAGGTAACAGAACAAATGGTTGGGAAATGTGTTAACACTACCACAGGACAGTGCACCACAGAGATCCCTGTCGGACACAACGCAGGCAGAACTAGAGGTCGCCCATGCAAGCAGTGGATAGATGGAATGTCTGAGGCTATGAATACCAGCATTTGCCTAGCATGCACAAACTAAGGCTTGAACTGATACCTCTTCAAGCCCTGACCCTGAAAGAGCAGAACAGATTCTAGAAAAAAGCAGAAGATGATTGATTCTTTACAATAACCCTCGGTGCTATTTTCTACCATCACATCCAATGCAGACTGTTAAAATACAATCTAAAATGTGAACGAAACATTCCTAATTAGTCGGCTTTCATAAGATACTGGTTGAGGGAGGGAGCAGTGGGTTTATTCTTTTCCCTCTCAAGATGGGGTTCCGAAAGCTTCTCAGGAAGGTTTTCCCGTCATTCGGGCCCTTTTAGCTAGTCCATGATATACCCATTCTGTTGCCTGAAGCACAATCCTGTATCGGTCCCTGTCCTAACAGCCATGTTTGTGTCAAGATCCATTTAAGGGAAGTAACTAAGAATTGTGTTAACATTAATTTTTGTGCATGTGTTATGTCCCATCTTGAGGGCTCATTCCTTGCAGTTGGATAGTGCAAGACAATTTTTATTCTTCCATGTTTCACTTCATCTTCGTCTCAACCGTTGCCATGTGTTTAGTCATTGCCCCGAGTGCATCTGAGGCTCTTACCATCGCCTGGCCCGTTCTACCGCCCCATAAACTAGACTGACAAATCTACGTCCCCCACGAGGCGGGGGTAATGGAAGAGCTGGTATAGGAGAATCCTAGCGCTTCATCCCGGCAGTGACTTGTGAATTACAATTCACACTGTTGCCAGTCCCCCTTCTCCCCCTCCCCCCCAACCTGCCCAAAATCTGATCAGTACCATAAATCTACCGCTTTAATCATAATTAATTGTAATGTGTTAACACTTTTTTTTTTTTTAATAATTAATACTTCGGTGATCCATTGCTGAAAGTGCTAAGAGATCAAATTTAAAACATTAAACGCAGGACCTTTTGATTGTAAGGCAGATAGATGTGATACCAACTACACTAGAAATTTCTGTGAAAATGAGAACTGAAAATAGGACCATTATTGTACACTGTGATAGACACATTCATGTCTCTTGTATAGTATAGAAGTAATGTTAATTTTAATCATCATGTCAGTACGTGACCATATCCTCTTCTTGATCATTGGGGATCCATTTCAGATCCAGTTGATGTTGATGGCTGAGTCAGATGGTGAATCTCTCTCACGGCTAGAAGTACACATGTCCACCTACATTGTTTTGAAGATAACCCAACTCATAACTCACACATTTCAAAGTGATCCTTACTATTACTCCTGATGAGTGGGAAGCTCAGTATACAGGTATGAGGTTCAGCAGCCTGGGAGAATTTCTTGGGCAAGTCCAGGATTGGGGTGCTGTGTATTGACCCTGCATGTATGGAAGCTTCCTTGGATGGTGAAGAATGCCCAGGTTCCAGTTCCCCCTGACAGGAAACCAGTCTGCAGGTAACAGGTGCCCGAGATGGTCCGACAGCTTTGGATCAAGGAATGAAGAAGTCACCACACAAAATGATTCTGTCAATTGTCACGCAATATCCAACAAAACTAACTGGGAAGAATAACACAGTTAATAAATACTAGAGGAAACTGGATGTTTCAGCCAAAAGCGCAAATATCACAGCTGTGCTGTAAACAGGCACAGCCAAATTATGTCACTCTGTTAAATGACATAGTTTTTTTTTTTTAATTATCATTATTTATTCTACTCTTCCAACAGAGAGAGAACAAGCGTCTCATTGAGACCAACATGCGGCTAGACCAAGAAAATGAAGATTTGGCACACGAGCTGGTGGAAAGCAAACTTGCCATGAAGAGCCAGATTGATACAGTAAGTTGACAGTTTGTTGCTCATAGGCTTACAAAGAAAATAACAGATTGTTACAATATCGTGTGGTGCTCTTTGAGAAAAAAAAACAGCCATATATATATATATATATATATATATATATATATATATATATATATATATATATATATATATATATATATATATATATATATATATATATATATATATATATATATATATATATATATATATATATATATATATATATATATATATATATATATATATATATATATATGTGTGTGTGTGTGTGTGTGTGTGTGTGTGTGTGTGTGTGTGTGTGTATATATATATATATATATATATATATATGTATATGTATTTTTATATATATACACACACACGCACGCGCGTGCGCACACGTGTGAGACCAGATCATATCATATCAAATCGTATCATATCAAATCAAATCATCAGGTGTCGTGCCGGTAAGCGAAGGCTGTCATGTTTCACCATCTCACACAATCACAGATGAGCTCTGTGTTTTTTTTTTTTTTTTTTTTTTTTTTTTCACCCCATTCATCTGGCCAGGCCATCTAGGTATTTATCTCTTCACCTTCCTCTTGATCTCTGTCCATCCATTTTGCCGGTTGTTACCACGTTCTCAAGAACATTCCTTCTCATAACTTAAAAAACACACACACACACACACAAAATATTGACTGTTTATATCTAACTGTTGCAATAAGTTTACAACTTTCGTCTGTCTTGATGGGGACTGCTTTGTGTCTTGTCCCATCCTTCAATGGCATTCTTTGCATGTCTCTCAGAAACCACATCTCTGCCACAAGTAAATGTTTGTCAGCTTGTCTGCTGATTGTCCATGTTTCACATCCTCATAACAACACAGGTTCTACATAGCACTTTAACACTTTTTGTTTCATCATCATCTTATTGCTAACGGCCGCTTTTGCAATGGAGATTCTTGTTCTAATTTCTGCAAGGCATTTTGCTTCAGATGTTAGGACAGTTCCTAAATAGTTATATCTGTTGACTTGCTTCAGAGTTTTGCTTGTAACTTACACTTTGGTATTTCTTTTGGCGATGAGCATAATTTTTGAATTCTCACAATCGAATGGTAAGCCAAGTTTCTCACTGTCAACTGTTACTGCATCCATTAAACACTGCAGCTCTTCTTCCCTGTCTGCTGTTAACGCAATGTCATCTGCATATCTGATATTTATGATGTTACATCCTCCTACAGTAGTTCCCTTGACACTGGAGACTGGCATCTTCAGTTGTTGAATGTTACCGCTCAGATTTTCACATGAGGAACTACACAACTCTCGTGTACATCCCTCCACAGGGGGTTTGAGACAGATTTTCCCATGAGGAACTACACAACTCTCATGTACATCCCTCCACAGGGGGTTTGAGACAGATTTTCCCATGAGAAACTACACAACTCTCATGCACATCCCTCCACAATGGGTTTGAGACAGATTTTCACATGAGGAACTACACAACTCTCATGCACATCCCTCCACAGGGGGTTTGAGACAGATTTTCATATGAGGAACTACACAACTCTCATGTACATCCCTCCACAATGGGTTTGAGACAGATTTTCCCATGAGGAACTACACAACTCTCATGTACATCCCTCCACAGGGGGTTTGAGACAGATTTTCCCATGAGAAACTACACAACTCTCATGTACATTCCTCCACAGTGGGTTTGAGACACATTTTCACATGAGGAACTACACAACTCTCATGCACATCCCTCCACAGGGGGTTTGAGACACATTTTCCCATGAGGAACTACACAACTCTCATGCACATCCCTCCACAATGGGTTTGAGACAGATTTTCCCATGAGGAACTACACAACTCTCATGCACATCCCTCCACAGTGGGTTTGAGACAGATTTTCCCATGAGGAACTACACAACTCTCATGTACATCCCTCCACAATGGGTTTGAGACAGATTTTCCCATGAGGAACTACACAACTCTCATGCACATCCCTCCACAGTGGGTTTAAAAGACATTTTCCCATGAGGAACTACACAACTCTCTGGGTTTGAAAGACATTTTCCCATGATGAACTACACAACTCTCATGCACATCCCTCCACAGTGGGTTTGAGACACATTTTCCCATGAGGAACTACATAACTCTCATGTACATTCCTCCACAGTGGGTTTGAAAGACATTTTCCTATGATGAACTACACAACTCTCATGCACATCCCTCCACAGTGGGTTTGAAAGACATTTTCCCATGAGGAACTACACAACTCTCATGTACATCCCTCCACAGTGGGTTTGAAAGACATTTTTCCATGATGAACTACACAACTATCTGGGTTTGAAAGACATTTTCCCATGAGGAACTACACAACACTCATGTACATCCCTCCACAGTGGGTTTGAAAGACATTTTCCCATGAGGAACTACACAACTCTCTGGGTTTGAAAGACATTTTCCCATGAGGAACTACACAACACTCATGTACATCCCTCCACAGTGGGTTTGAAAGACATTTCCCCATGAGGAACTACTCAACTCTCATGACTCGGTATGCAGTAATTGTAAAACTGTGACCCTGATGGGGCTTATGGCACACTATATATTTGAATCAGAGAAGAACTGGAAGTTTTAATGTCAGGAAAGTTAACTGTGTCCTCCATGTCTTCTCTCCATTTGTTCAGCTTGAGGACAGGTGCAATGAGCTGGAGAAAGACCTCACGCAGACATCCAAACATCTGAAGGAGGCAGAGGATGAGAAGAAGCGACTGGATGCAGAATCTAAATCTGTAAGTTAGAGCTTCTTGGAGAGTTTCTTCGTATCCTAGGCATGCTTTTTTTGTTGATTGGTTCATGTGCACTCTACAGTGATCAAACATTAGCATTTAGAGTTTATTGCACACAAATTATTCCTTATACTTAACGGAATGTTGAGGTAATATTAAAACGTGAAGAGGTCTGAGCCAGTAGTGTAACAAGAGTGCAGAGCTTAGAAGTTAAGACACATGAGTCTCTGCAGTCCACATGTTTTGGGATTTTGGGAGAGACCGGTACTGACAGATGAGTCATTTTGTATGTAATTGTATCATTGTCCAGTCATGTCAAATGGCTGCCTTATCAGCTGTACACACGTGTCATATCTGTTACTGACTCGTGCAGAGTGGTAAGCATCGCTTCAGAGGTCCCAGCTCGTTAGTGAATATTTGGATTTGTTCTCCAGGAAATGAGCAGTTCATCACCACTTGATGGTGAAGTGATGTATGACAAACTGGATGTTGTGAGGGCCCTTTGGGAGCAAGTAAACAATGAGGAGGCACAAACAGATTATTAGGTTCTGAGGAAAATGGCACTGCGAAGGTAAATGGAACTTCTATGTCATGGACAGACAGTTGTCTCTAAAGAAAACTATGCCTGACAACTTACATGTAGACTGTTAATGGACAGAATGAGAACCAGAAAGTGCCAGGTGAATGCAACTTCCCTGTCGTGGACAGACAGTTTATTTAATCAGATGTAACAGAATGAATGACTAGTCTTGCATTCAAAACAGCTATTTATTTTAGAGAGATTAAGCATCTGTGAGCTTACCTGAAGTGCCCTTATGACATTTTTATGTAACTAGTAAATATTTACTGAGTGCTGTCTCTGTTTTTTACCTGACAGCTGAAAGAGATGTGCCGTAGGGAGCTGGAGAGGGCAGAAACAGAAGCCAAGAGAAATTCAGTCATTATTTCTGATTACAAACAGGTATTTAACTTGTACTGTTTTTATTCTGTTTGCATATTTTTGTCTTTTCTTCCTTCTCCTGTTTCCTTCTTCTTCTAATCCTCCTCCACCCTCTTCCTCGTCCCCCTCCTCCTCTTTCTTCTTTTTCTTCTTCTTCTTCTTCTTCTTCTTCTTTTCATCTTTTCCTTCTCCTTCTTCCTTTTTTTTCTTCTTCGTCTTCTTCCATCTTCTTCTTCTTCCTTCTCCTCCTCTTCTTCTTTTTCTGTGTTCACCCATTAAAGGGCGGCAAGCATGTTCTTTTGTAGTTTACAGCAAAGCTGCCATATCTGTGCCCTTCACCCAAACACATCTGATTTCAGAAAACTCTTCACTTAGTCTCCCTTTACAATATGCATGTTAAACATTCGTGGGTCTGGCAACTGAGTACCTAGAACACATGCACAGTGGGTCTGGCAACTGAGTACCTAGAACATATGCACAGTGGGTCTGGGAACTGAGTACCTAGAACATATGCACAGTGGGTCTGGGAACTGAGTACCTAGAACATATGCACAGTGGGTCTGGGAACTGAGTACCTAGAACATATGCACAGTAGGTCTGGCAACTGAGTACCTAGAACACATGCACAGTGGGTCTGGCAACTGAGTACCTAGAACACATGCACAGTGGGTCTGGGAACTGAGTACCTAGAACACATGCACAGTGGGTCTGGGAACTGAGTACCTAGAACACATGCACAGTGGGTCTGGCAACTGAGTACTTAGAACACATGCACAGTGGGTCTGGCAACTGAGTACTTAGAACACATGCACAGTGGGTCTGGGAACTGAGTACCTAGAACACATGCACAGTGGGTCTGGGAACTGAGTACCTAGAACACATGCACAGTGGGTCTGGGAACTGAGTACCTAGAACACATGCACAGTGGGTCTGGGAACTGAGTACCTAGAACACATGCACAGTGGGTCTGGCAACTGAGTACCTAGAACACATGCACAGTGGGTCTGGCAACTGAGTACCTAGAACACATGCACAGTGGGTCTGGCAACTGAGTACCTAGAACACATGCACAGTGGGTCTGGCAACTGAGTACCTAGAACACATGCACAGTGGGTCTGGCAACTGAGTACCTAGAACACATGTGCAGAGTTGATTGTATTGTCTGTTTGTGCTAGTCTGCAAGCAGGTGGACGCCATCATTTCTATCTAGCAGTTGTGTTGTTTTTTTCAATCTAAATTAGTCTGTCTGCTGATATTTTTACCAACATACATAGCACATGACTACTAACTTGATATTACATATAACAACACTACCTACTTACTTACATTCCTACATATTTGCCTGCATGCCACTTACATTTTTACTACCTGCCTACTTACATTCCTGCAAATCTGCCTGCATGCCACTTACATTTTTACTGCCTACTTCTTACATTCCTACATATCTGTCTGCATGCCACTAAACGTTTCTACTACCTGCCCACTTACACACCTACTTATCTGTCTGCATGCCACTTACATTTTTACTGCCTACTTCTTACATTCCTACATATCTGTCTGCATGCCACTTACATTTTTACTGCCTACTTCTTACATTCCTACATATCTGCCTGCATGCCACTTACATTTTTACTGCCTACTTCTTACATTCCTACATATCTGTCTGCATGCCACTTACATTTTTACTGCCTACTTCTTACATTCCTACATATCTGTCTGCATGCCACTAAACGTTTCAACTACCTGCCTACTTACATTCCTACATATCTGTCTGCATGCCAATAAACGTTTCTACTACCTGCCTACTTACACACCTACATATCTGTCTGCATGCCACTAAACGTTTCTACTACCTGCCTACTTACACACCTACATATCTGTCTGCATGCCACTAAACGTTTCTACTACCTGCCTTTCTTACACACCTACATATCTGTCTGCATGCCACTAAACGTTTCTACTACCTGCCTACTTACACACCTACATATCTGCCTGCATGCCACTAAACGTTTCTACTACCTGCCTACTTACACACCTACTTATCTGCCTGCATGCCACTAAACGTTTCTACTACCTGCCTACTTACACACCTACTTATCTGCCTGCATGCCACTAAACGTTTCTACTACCTGCCTACTTACACACCTACATATCTGCCTGCATGCCACTAAACGTTTCTACTACCTGCCTACTTACACACCTACATATCTGCCTGCATGGCACTAAACGTTTCTACTACCTGCCTACTTACACACCTACATATCTGCCTGCATGCCACTAAACGTTTCTACTACCTGCCTACTTACACACCTACATATCTGTCTGCATGCCACTAAACGTTTCTACTACCTGCCTACTTACACACCTACTTATCTGCCTGCATGCCACTAAACGTTTCTACTACCTGCCTACTTACACACCTACTTATCTGCCTGCATGCCACTAAACGTTTCTACTACCTGCCTACTTACACACCTACTTATCTGTCTGCATGCCACTAAACGTTTCTACTACCTGCCTACTTACACACCTACTTATCTGTCTGCATGTCACTAAACGTTTCTACTACCTGCCTTTCTTACACACCTACATATCTGCCTGCATGCCACTAAACGTTTCTACTACCTGCCCACTTACACACCTACATATCTGCCTGCATGCCACTAAACGTTTCTACTACCTGCCTACTTACACACCTACTTATCTGTCTGCATGTCACTAAACGTTTCTACTACCTGCCTACTTACACACCTACATATCTGTCTGCATGTCACTAAACGTTTCTACTACCTGCCTACTTACACACCTACATATCTGTCTGCATGTCACTAAACGTTTCTACTACCTGCCTACTTACACACCTACATATCTGTCTGCATGTCACTAAACGTTTCTACTACCTGCCTACTTACACACCTACATATCTGTCTGCATGTCACTAAAACGTTTCTACTACCTGCCTACTTACACACCTACTTATCTGTCTGCATGTCACTAAACGTTTCTACTACCTGCCTACTTACACACCTACATATCTGTCTGCATGTCACTAAACGTTTCTACTACCTGCCTACTTACACACCTACATATCTGTCTGCATGTCACTAAACGTTTCTACTACCTGCCTACTTACACACCTACATATCTGTCTGCATGTCACTAAACGTTTCTACTACCTGCCTACTTACACACCTACATATCTGTCTGCATGTCACTAAACGTTTCTACTACCTGCCTACTTACACACCTACATATCTGTCTGCATGCCACTAAACGTTTCTACTACCTGCCTACTTACACACCTACATATCTGCCTGCATGCCACTAAACGTTTCTACTACCTGCCTACTTACACACCTACTTATCTGCCTGCATGCCACTAAACGTTTCTACTACCTGCCTACTTACACACCTACTTATCTGTCTGCATGCCACTAAACGTTTCTACTACCTGCCTACTTACACACCTACTTATCTGTCTGCATGTCACTAAACGTTTCTACTACCTGCCTACTTACACACCTACATATCTGCCTGCATGCCACTAAACGTTTCTACTACCTGCCCACTTACACACTTACATATCTGCCTGCATGCCACTAAACGTTTCTACTACCTGCCTACTTACACACCTACATATCTGCCTGCATGCCACTAAACGTTTCTACTACCTGCCTACTTACACACCTACTTATCTGCCTGCATGCCACTAAACGTTTCTACTACCTGCCTACTTACACACCTACTTATCTGCCTGCATGCCACTAAACGTTTCTACTACCTGCCTACTTACACACCTACTTATCAGGCAATATTCCTGACTGCCCATTTCATCCATTAGACTATTTTTGTACAGTCCATCATTAGAGAGACAAGTAGACTTGACCAGTTGACCAGCCAGACACTTGAATATTGCAGTCTAATCACTATTCAACAGTCATTTTCTCTCTTTCTTTCTTTCTCTTCTCTCTCCTTTTCTCTCTTCTTTCAGTCTCTCTTCTCACAGTCTCTCTCCCTCTCTTTTTCTGTATGCATATCTGTCTGTTCCTTTCCATATATCCACCTGTCTTCATCAGTCTCTGTCTACCTAAAGTTCCCTCCAGATAACCACTAACCCATCCATCCATCCATCCATCTATCCATCCGTCTGTCTGTCCATCTATCCATCACACTCCTGGATACTTTGTTTCAGATTTGTACACAACTCAGTGAGAGACTGGAGAAACAACAAACTCTGTTTAGAGATGAGTTGCAGAACATCAGGGTGCGTACATATTTGTTATTTGTACAGATATAATTGTGAAGTGTGTACAAGTATCACCTACAAGCAATACCGCGTGGTGAGACATGCTTCAAGTGCAAAGACCGTGGGTAGAAGAAGAGGAGGGCAAAGAAGAACATGGAATGACAACATCAAGAAATGGACAGGACTAAGTTGTCATACACTTATTCATCAAGTGGAACAGAGAAAAATTGTATCTTTTATGTGCTAGTTCTTTCATCACTACACCTCCATGATCCTAATTGTTTATTGGTTATGTTATGTTATATATAAGCAATATAAAGAGAAAGTCACATGATATAAAGAGCATTGATGATTGGTCATTTGCTACAGTATAATGAGATAGCAATAATATATTTGCCCCCAAAAATCTAGTTTTGTTGTGCACATTTAACAATCAAAATCCTGAATAACTATTTTTTCAGTATTTTTGTAAATGTCCTAGAGCCATGGTAGTGTAGCGGCATTAATGATTACCTGCCAGCTTGAAGGTCTCGTGTTTAAATCCACATCAAGTCGGATTTTTTTTTTTTTTTTTTTTTAAGAATTGGCCATGGCTTTGAGTTAGTTAACAAGTTAGCTGTGTATTCTTTACAGGTTTTACAGCCCCAGTATTTTTGGCTGTTTGGTTTTTCTAGGCAGTTTTACATTTAGTAGCTTGCCATCGCTTTCAGAATGGTCAGGGCTCCATACCTTGTCAATATCAGTGCAAAGCAGTCTGCTGCCTAATCGCCCACAGCTGGAATCAAACTAGGTACTTCAGACTTAGGAAGCATGTTCACATCGCCAAAGCCACAGATGCCACAACGATGCAAACAGCGAATAGTTTTGCTGTAACTGACCATGCATGTCATTAGAGGTGACTAGGAACAGCTGATAGCTGTCTCATACTGCAGACAGTTGAAAGCTGTCTCATACTGCAGACAGTTGATAGCTGTCTCATACTGCAGACATTTGTAGCTGTCTCATACTGCAGACAGTTGATAGCTGTCTCATACTGCAGACAGTTGATAGCTGTCTCAAACTTCAGACATTTGATAGCTGTCTCATACTGCAGACAGTTGATAGCTGTCTCATACTGCAGACATTTGTAGCTGTCTCATACTGCAGACAGTTGATAGCTGTCTCATACTGCAGACAGTTGATAGCTGTCTCAAACTTCAGACATTTGATAGCTGTCTCATACTGCAGACAGTTGATAGCTGTCTCATACTGCAGACATTTGTAGCTGTCTCATACTGCAGACAGTTGATAGCTGTCTCATACTGCAGACATTTGTAGCTGTACAGTGCAGCCAGATCTAGACAAGTCTACAGACAGCTTGTTTTGAGTTGATTGAGAGCCTTTGCTTCATTGGGAGATCTTGCTATTGATAATGTTTCCTATTACCTGATGTATGAATGAAATTATGTATGAAAGGAGGGAGAATGGATGGGCAGACAGGCCTGCATGCCCAATTCTTAATCCTTTGAAAATAAAGTTTGTTCGTTCATTCATTCACTGGTGGAAAGTCCTCATCCACTTCTGGACAGAACCGCTGCAGCTGACTGTGGGGTGATTAGTCGGTATGCCTGACCAGGTTGTGAATTGTGTGTCACACAAGTCACACCATTTGGAACTTCCTAGTTCACTCATACACTTGCTGGCCTGACAGGCAGGCATCACCATACCGGATCTTCTTTCGTTGATGAATTTCTACAAGTTTTTATCCTTGCACTGATCATAAAACAGTTATATAAGTTATGTTTTGGGTTATCTTTACGGCACTCCAGACATGTCCATAGGTGTTCAGATTCCTCCTTCAGCATATACATCAGCATCCTGTGGTTGATAGTCCTAGAACTATGTTGATTAACAAGAATTCTCATGCATCCGGTATACATCTCGTGCCTGGTTGTGATTGAGAACGAGTCCCTGGAACAGTAGCGGAAGCAGTCTCTGCTCGATGTTGGCATGGCCAGGACACTCACTGCTGATAACTCTTTACGGGCCTTCCTTAAAACATGGTAAACGGGGTCTTTGAAGGACATGCTACGATTAAACTTCACACCCAGATATGTCATCGGGTGGGTTTCTCGTCAACAGATATATACTACTCTTTGGTGCATATCAGAGGTGGGTGGCTGTCTTTGAACTGTCAGTATGACATCATCTGCACCATGAGGTTATATGATGAACACTCTTGACATCTTAAACAATCATTTTGTTGGGTACAAGATTTAACTTTGATTATGAGATGTCATATATGATGTGAAACTTTGATTGGAAGATGTAATTTATAAGATTTTGATTGGGAGATATCATGTATGAGATTTAACCTTTTAATGAAATGTTATGTATGAGATTAAACTTGGATTGGAATATGTAATACGATTTCACTTGGACTGAGTTATGTCTTATGATTTCACTTGGATTGAGAAATGTCATATATAAATTTTTATTTTTATTGCAGATGCAGATAAAATCCTGTGAAAAGTGTTGCTCTGTGTTTGATGGCGAGAACATTCGATTGGCCGACAACATGAAAGAAGAGCAGGAGGATCCAAACATCACAGACTTGCAGAGACATGTAATGCTGTGTTTGTTGTCTCTCACTCATCCTATACAATACAGGCAGTCCTGTGGTAGATAGATAGTATCCTTGGAGTGTGAAGTGTTGTGTCTTTCTCTCATCCTGTACAGTAGTATCCTTGGAGTGTGAAGTGTTGTGTCTTTCTCTCATCCTGTACAATAGTATCCTTGGAGTGTGAAGTGTTGTGTCTTTCTCTCATCGTGTAAAATACAGGCAGTCCTGTGGTAGATAGATAGTATCCTTGGAGTGTGAAGTGTTGTGTCTTTCTCTCATCCATAACAGAACAGGCAGTCCTGTGGTAGATAGATAGTATCCTTGGAGTGTGAAGTGTTGTGTCTTTCTCTCATCCATAACAGAACAGGCAGTCCTGTGGTAGATAGATAGTATCCTTGGAGTGTGAAGTGTTGTGTCTTTCTCTCGTCCATAACAGAACAGGCAGTCCTGTGGTAGATAGATAGTATCCTTGGAGTATGAAGTGTTGTGTCTTTCTCTCATCCTGTACAATAGTATCCTTGGAGTGTGAAGTGTTGTGTCTTTCTCTCATCCTGTACAATAGTATCCTTGGAGTGTGAAGTGTTGTGTCTTTCTCTCATCCTGTACAATAGTATCCTTGGAGTGTGAAGTGTTGTGTCTTTCTCTCATCCTGTACAATAGTATCCTTGGAGTGTGAAGTGTTGTGTCTTTCTCTCATCCTGTACAATAGTATCCTTGGAGTGTGAATTGTTGTGTCTTTCTCTCATCTTGTACAATAGTATCCTTGGAGTGTGAAGTGTTATGTCTTTCTCTCATCCTGTACAATAGTATCCTTGAAGTGTGAAGTGTTGTGTCTTTCTCTCATCCTGTAGGATAGTATCCTTGGAGTATGAGGTGTTGTGTTTTTCTCTTATCCTGTACGATAGTATCCTTGGAGTATGAAGTGTTGTGTCTTTCTCTCATCCTGTACAAAACAGGCAGTCCTGTATAGATAGTACCCTTGGAGTATGAAGTGTTGTGTCTTTCTCTCATCCTGTACGATAGTATCCTTGAAGTGTGAAGTGTTGTGTCTTTCTCTCATCATGTAAAATACAGGCAGTCCTGTATAGATAGTATCCTTGGAGTATGAAGTGTTGGGGCTTCATATATTCTAGGCCAGGACATAATGAGAAACTTCTCTTCCCTTCTTTCCCATCCCAGACAACTTCCATATAATACACAAAAAATGCATGCTACTAATAGCAACAGAGAAACTACTAAATACTAATCTTGGCTCACAGTATGTGGTAATGCTGACAGATGCTAAATCCATACTTGAAGCACTCCAGTCTAGGAAACTACCAGAATTGCAAACACTGCTGACACAACTCAGTCTTCAGCGAAGAGTCGTAATGCAGTGGATACCGTCTCATTGTGGAGTGCCTGGAAATGAGAAAGCTGATCAACTGGCAGGAGAAGGTGCGACAAAAGTGCAGCTGGATGTACCAGTCACATACCACCAAAAGAGAAGAATCATTAAATCGATCAGGAAACCACCAGCCTCAGCACAAGATGACTATCTTATTATGTACAGACCAGAACAAGTCATTATCTTCCGCCTCAGAACAGGGCACAACCGATTATGTAACCACATTTACACAAAATTCAAGATAGGTGTATCAGCCATGTGCACCTGTGGAAAGGTGCCCCAGACAGCAGAGCAAGTACTCCAGGACTGCACCGATTTTGACACATTAAGGCAAACCTTTTGGCCAGAAAGAACAACAGTGGAACATAAACTCTATGGACCACTGAATGAATTAACAACAACAGTGAAATTTAAACAAGATAAAAAATTGCTGATATAGACAACTAATTTCGGGCGAACGAAAGAAGAAGAAGAAGCAGCAGGCTACTCACTTTCTGAGGCTTTATAAGTCTGCTTTAAAATCTTGAGTGACTTTCTTTTTTTTTTTTAATCACTGTCTTTTTGGTTACTGTATTCTGATGAAAACATTTAGCCACAAAAATATCCATTTTGTCACTTGTGATTATGTTCTTGTAAAGCAGACAAGTTCCAGGTTTAGGTTTGTTGACTGATGTATCGTACGTTGTGATGTCAGACTTTCTGATCACCAGTTGTAGGTTTGTTGACTGATGTATCGTACGTTGTGATGTCAGACTTTCTGATCACCAGTTGTAGGTTTGTTGACTGATGTATCGTACGTTGTGATGTCAGACTTTCTGATCACCAGTTGTAGGTTTGTTGACTGATGTATCGTACGTTGTGATGTCAGACTTTCTGATCAATGTCCCTTGTCCACACTTGGAGGTGTGTTGGACATGTAGAGCTAGACCTGTATTTTATAGACCAGTTGGCACAGTGTACCCAAATATGGGAGCTAGCACAGAATACCTAAATATGGGAGCTAGCACAGAATACCTAAATATGGGTGCTAGCACGGTATACGCAAGATGGGAGCTAGCACAGAATACTCAAATATGGGAGCTAGCACAGAATACCTAAATATGGGTGCTAGCACAGTATACCCATATATGGGAGCTAGCACGGTATACGCAAGATGGGAGCGAGCACAGTTTTCTCAAATATGGGGGCTAGCAAAGTATACCTAAATATGGGGGCAAGCAAAGTATACCTAAATATGGGGGCTAGCACGGTATACGCAAGATGGGAGCGAGCAGTTTACTCAAATATGGGGGCTAGCAAAGTATACCTAAATATGGGGGCTAGCAAAGTATACCTAAATATGGGGGTCTCTGTACCCAAATCATTGCTTTGTCCCAAGCAATCCGTAGCTGGAGCTAGCACAGACTAAACAAGTATGGGGGCTAGCAGAAGTATACCCAAGATATGGGGGCATAGCAAAGTGTGGCGCCAAGATATGGGGGCCTAGCAAAGTGGTTACCCAAATGGGAGCTCTAGCACAATGTTACCCAAAAGATGGAGGCTAAAGCAAAGTATACCCAGTCTTTAATGGAGGAGGAACTAGCAAAACCGACACCCAAGTATGGCTTGAGTTAGCAAAGTATGGCCTAATTGTTTGGGTCATAGTACAGTCGTTACTTTAAAACACGTTCAAATAGTTAAACTATAGGGTGCAGAAGTTCTGCAAACTCGCTTTGGTCTTTTCTGTTGTATATGGAAATCTTTGTAGGAAGTCTTGCTATTGTATACATCACCCTAATTTTGATGACTAAAACTCTGTACCCAAATCATTGCTTAGTCTCTGTACCCAAATCATTGCTTTGTCTCTGTACCCAAATCATTGCTTTGTCTCTGTACCCAAATCATTGCTTTGTCTCTGTACCCAAATCATTGCTTTGTCTCTGTACCCAAATCATTGCTTTGTCTCTGTACCCAAATCATTGCTTTGGGAAATCTCTGTGTACCCAAATCATTGCTTTGTCTCTGTACCCAAATCATTGCTTTGTCTCTGTACCCAAATCATTGCTTTGTCTCTGTACCCAAATCATTGCTTTGTCTCTGTACCCAAATCATTGCTTTGTCTCTGTACCCAAATCATTGCTTTGTCTGCGCAGATCCGCGAGCTGGAGCTGGAGCTAGCACAGACTAAACTGGCTCTGGTGGAGTCAGAATGTAAGACCCAAGACCTCACCCACCAGCTCAATGTGGCGTTCTCGGAGATCACAGCCAACAAGAACACCTGGTTTCAGAAAACCATCAGCTCTATCAGGGATGTTGCCTCCACAAAGAAGGAGCCCAAAGATTGACACAGTGTAATGATGCTTTGCTAGTCTTTAATGGAGGTGAAGAACTATAGGAATGAACCGACACCATGAATGAAATGGCTTGAGTTTATTTATAACAGTGGCCTAATTGTTTCAGTCATAAGTAGTCGTTACTTTAAGCCCATCTAGTCCAAAGAGTTAAACCTAAAAGTAATAAATATTTAGGTTGGAATGAGTTCAACAGAGACACTGTAGGACAAAAGTAGTTAAAGTAACAGTTCAGATACGAGAGGTTAATATAACAAGTATCTGTGAAAGAAGACAGTCAGAACATTGTATTATCTTTTATTCTGTTGTGTAGAGGAGGGAAGATTGTTGGAAGCTGAGGGAAACTGTTGTGTGGAGGAGGGAAGGTCATTGGAAGCTAGGGGAAACTGTTGTGTGGGGGAGGGAAGGTCATTGGAAGCTAGGGGAAACTGTTGTGGGGAGGAGGGAAGGTTGTGTGGAGGAGGGAAGGTCGTTAGAAGCTAGGGGAAACTTGTGTGGAGGAGGGAAGTCGTTAGAAGCTAGGGGAAACTTGTGGAGGAGGGAAGGTCGAAGCTAGGGAAAACTTGTGTGGAGGAGGGAAGGTCGTTAGAAGCTAGGGAAAACTTGTGTGGAGGAGGGAAGGTCGTTAGAAGCTAGGGAAAACTGTAGTGGTGAGAGGAATGTAAGGTTGTTGAAAGCTATGGAAACTGCTGGGCTCTATAAATAGCTAAAGTTGTGTCCACCTGCATAGTTTTTGGTACACGTCCTTGTGTGGTTTCCAGGGCCCTATTTTAGGGGAAGTAATTATACAGAACATGTTGTGACCACTGGAAAGATCTGTGGAAGGAGGGATAGAGGAAGACAACGAGAGAAGATGCTTGACAGTCTTGTTACATGGCATGGAGGTGTGTCGGCACATGCTGCAGGAGATCGCAGATTATGGAGAGGCATGATCGCCCACGCCAGTCGGCAAGGCACCTGATGATGATGAATTATACATTCATTAAAGGTTTATTGAAATCTGACGTCTTAGGCCAAAAGGTTCAGGTGTCACAGTCTAGCTGTAAACTACAACACAATGTACCAACTGTCCTTTTCAGGACAAATGCATGAAAAGAATAATTTGGTTGAGGTGGGACACAGTTTTGTTACGTTATTGCAGTCAACATTATAATTTGATGTTACCTATCATAGTCAACATAGGACACATCAGCCATGACGTCATTGTTGCTTTAGATGGAAGATGAACCTCCCCAGTTATGTTACGTTATCACAATCAGCATCAGGCACGTTGACTGGGGTGTCATTGTTGGTTGAAGTGAATGACTTTCCCATCAGTGATGACACTTTCTTGTCAGTTTCTAGCTTTTGAGACCGTGATACTTGTTTTATTTGAAGAAATAATTTTTTTTTTTTTAATTGTGATTCAATTTTGGGTTTTCCCCTCTTCTACATTGTTCTCTGGTGTCTGCTTTTGTCCCCGTATGCTGACCATTGTATGCTGACCACTGTGTGATGCCAGTATTTCTGTAGGTGCTCTGACAAAAGGCAGTTGAGTCACCACTTATATGAAGCAGTTTAGTCACTAGTATTGCACTGTGCCACACATGAAAGCCATTCCACTTAATCATTTTGCAACTTTATATCACTTTCATGCATTGTTTTTTGGCTGTGCATAATACAGTATGTGTTCTTTCATGACAGTCTGCTACTGAGCCGGTTATTGTTTTGAGAATATGTTGTTTGGAAGTTAGTATGGAAGCATGTGTCCAGCTGTGAATGTCATGTGTCCAGCTGTGAATGTTATGTGTCCAGCTGTGAATGTCATTGTCCAGCTGTGAATGTCATGTGTCTAGCTGGGAATGTGATGTGCCCAGCTGTGAATCTTATGTGTCCAGCTGTAAATGTGATGTAATTGTTGGAGTTAGTACGTTATACAAGTAAAAGCCTCTCCTGAAGTGGTTTGAAAAGGTTTTAGATAGTTATCTGCATAAGTAAATAAGTGTAAAGACAATAAAGAAAACTGCATGGAGCTATAAGATTTTGTTAAGTAATAGGAAAAACAAGAATACACAGTCAGATGTAATTTCATAGCTCAGAAATAGCAGCCACAATCTTTATCAACAAAAAAACGTGAACACAACAGAATCATTGATAAAGTTTGTCTTTGCAACATCTTTGTATTCGCTGTCTTCTTGTAAAACTGGCCCTCCAGTGCTAGTCTTTCCTATTCGACAGAGGCGCCATGTAACAAATTTAAGGGAGTCTGATATCATTTACACCCACACAAAAAAACTCTATTTATTTATAAATTAGAATAAGTTCTTCATTGCCGCTGTTTATCATTTTAGGGTCCTTGACAGACCTTTGATTATAATAAGAGCAAACCGAGGGTGTTAACTAATTGAGAACATCTAGTCTAGCTGACGGCTGTGGGGCTCTGATGTGTCCAGATTTCCTGGAAAGTTGAGACATTTGTGATGTGAGGCTTATTTGGCATGTGTGTATTTGTTCTGATGTCTGTCTGTAAAGTAGACTTGTGATTTAAATAAATTAAATTAATTATTTTTTAATTTAAATATATTTATTTATATATATATATTTGTCTGTAAATATCAGTTTGTTTGTTTTTTTTCGTTTTTTTTTTTAATTTAATTTTTATTTTACCGGGTTTATATTATGTGGTTTGTCAGAAATGTATACATGTGGACTGATGATGTAGCAGTGTAATTTAAGGTTTTCCTGAAGTCTGCATGTGTGTTGTTTAGTTTATATGTAAATATTGTTGTTAACTTTAGGTTTGCTGAAAATGTTTACTTTGTGGTTTGAGAAATGCCATATCTATAATTGTAGTTGGAAGATTAAGAAAACCTTATTGGGGGTTTGAAATGTGTGTTGACATAGGTCACAACTAAATTCCCACAAAACTGGGACGCATTTTTACCAGTGTTTTGTTTGCGAACTGAGGAATGGCGGCTCATGGACAAGAACTAAGGAAGCGCAGCACCCCTTTTGTTTCACTGGATATTTTAGCCACGAGTCGCCACCAAGATTTCCATCGACCAGGGTCGTCTTTCACTGTTTGACTTGATACATGATGCACATCTACAGGATCCTAGGGCTTGTTAAACACTGCATTTTATTATTAAATTTTCTCATGTGAAGGTTTGCCTAAGGTGTTAGGTTTTGGGGTTTTTGGGGCGGGGGGTCCAGATCAGTGGTTTGTTGTTGTGTGCTTTGAATTCATTTTGTGAAAGCACACAATTGATTGCATGGCTTTTTCACCATACCTTGCAGGTGTATTTCACTCTTCATATATTATACAACAGAAATTAAACATCATAACATAAAGTTTTCAGGTTGCATTTCCTCTTCCTGTGATAAGGCTGGTCTAACAGTTGATTCATGACAATTCACACCCAGGTGATCTAATTATCTATACAGATGGTTTGGTGGTGAGAGGAAAGAGACTTGCCTGGGGGTTCGTAGCGAAAGCCAATAGAAAATCTTTTAGTGCAAGACAGCCTAGCATACGACACAACAACGTCTAGCATGAGAATGGAGGTGGAGGCGTTAACTGAAGCTCTCCAATGGCTAGAGAACAAAATGCATACTTATAACAGACTCTGAAAGCATGCTGAAAAAGGTGAGGACAGGGATGCTTCTTTGGCAATCAGTAGAGAAAGAAGATTATCATGGCCTGGAGAGAATGGGGCACCTGAGTGTAACCAGAGGGTCTGAGCGGCTCAATACACTCATAGGAAAGGCAAGACGGACATATAACTAAATTGTGACCAGTACCATGAGTATTGGAACTCTGCACTGGCTGCTAAAGATGAGGACGGAGTATGCATGGGATTGCCCTGAGTGCTGTGATGTCAGTTCTTGACTCAACTCAACTCAGGATAAGGCATCTCGTGAGTATCTCGTGAGCAAGTGCGGAATAGACTTCGATAAAACACAATGATATATATACCTTGACTAACTTTTGACTGATGCTTGTCATACAGAAGTCACGTAAACGTTGTCATAGAGCCAGGAAAGGTCTGAAGGTGCTGAAGGCGATGGCGTACGCCGACATTGAACAGCAACTACTTTTTCTGCTCTATCAGGGACTTGTATTAAGTGTTTCAGACTACAGTCTGGGCCTCCTCACTGTCAGCAGAACCCAGCTAGAAAGACTGGACAGGGTACAAAATGAAGTCATCCCATAATTGGCTGCACAAAAGACACCTCGTGCTATGCCATGTGGTATGTCGTGGGTTTACAGATGATGGCTACCAGACATTAAGTGGCACAGGTGAAAACATTCATGAGGATATCAGCAGACATCAACCACCCATTGCATAATGTTATCAGTGATATAAAATAAAGGTATGCGTCTCATGAGAGGCTTCTCCTAGATGGCTGTGGCAGAAAATCTAGTCCAGCAAGTATGTGCCCTAGACGAGATCAGTCAAGGAAAAGAATGGACGGATACACCAGTAGATCTGCGTGACTTGTCTAAGGTTATCATAACACTGGAGAGGTACTGCAGGAGTCAGATACCTGCCACTGGAGACCCTGAGATTAGTGCACTGATTTATCTGCATTCACGCACAGAAGATGTTGTTGTATATACAGATGGGCCCATGAAGCGTGGGTCAAGATCAGCATGGGCATACACGACACAAAGGATGGGGAAAATAATCAAAGTGGATAGCGGCGCTTTCCAAACAACTACGTCAAGCATGACCATGGATATAACTGCTGATACCAGAGCACTCCCGTGGGCAGCAGAACAAGCGGCCACACATGCAGTAATCGTGTCAGACTCTATGAACATGCTTTAGAAAAAATACTACAGGAAGTCTATTCTCCAAATGGGCAGAAAGAATTTGGAAGTCGCAATTAACCTCTATCATCTGGATCTACACACCGGGGCATGCAGGAGTAACTGGTAATGAAAGAGCTGACCAGCTAGCAAGTGAGGCACCAATGCAAAGGGAAGAAGCATGGACCGAGCTGATATCATC